TTTTAAAACCTCCGTTGTCATACTGCCTCTTTTAGAAAGCCTCTAACAGAAAATTATTCTCCCTTATGTGATATTCTGCCAGTTATAAACTGGACAATCAATAACAAAATTGTCTTATCAATGGTCCTCTTTAGTTGAATTTGCCTATTAATCATCCAAGCGTGATTTCTACTTTCTTGATTTTCCTCTTAAAATAATTCTAATTGTTGTAGCAGTTCCAGATGAATCTAATAGATTTTTAAATTGGCTTAGTTAAATCCATCTTTTCTTGCATAATTTGTCAAATTTTCTTCAAAATTATTGACGGTTAAGTGTGATGTATAAAATCTCTTATTTCTTATTTACCTCTTACTAATTTTACAGTGACAAGAATTACACGCAAAATTCTAGTATTTTTATAATTGTTCGTCATTTTGTATGCAATTATGTTTTTATTCAAGAAAATGTATTTACCATAGAGATAACATTATTTAGTGGAAAGCATTCAATAGTAATTAAGCTGCTGCACTAAACAATAACTCTATCTCTGTACTATAGAAATCTCTGTAAAACTTTGTTTAGAAAACTGGTCTGTCAAGAAGTTAAATAAACTGTGTATGCATATTCAATAAAAAATTTGATGGAGAATAAAGTACCCATACTTAAATTAATTATAAAAAAGTATAATACTCTCTTCTATATATAAATATTCTTGATGTCTTTTATTGTTCATCCAACTTCCATTGATATAAGTGAACACAAGAAAGAGTTGTACACGCTGGCTGGAAAGTTTAGTAGTAAAAAAGATAATTCATATGAATGATTGCATTAATAAGACAAGAGCAGTTTGTAATAGTTCAATAATCTGGCTTACCAGTGTGAGACAGGGTTCTCATAGGAATATGAACTGTTTGCTGTCCATAGGAATATCGTTTACAGTTAAATTTTTGTTTTAATTCCTTCCTAAACTTATTGCCATTCAAGCAGTAGAAAATAAAGTTAGTTGCGTGGTTTGTATACATAAGTAAAAAACAAAAAGATTTAGTTAATTGTTCATTTTTCGCTGTATTCCTGTCTGCCACTAAAAGCCATATTGATAGGGGGCACGTTAAAATAATCCACGATAAAGATACGGTAAGTAGCATTATTACAACTTTAACATTACGCTTTCTTTGTTGTTGTGTAGCATTTGATCGTAGTTCTCTGAAGGCAGTTCCCCTCAACAGCTTATACATTATTCCAGTATTCATACAAATTACCAAAAATATTGGAATTAAGCTGTATGTCCATAACTTAAGAATTGGAGATATTTTAGTAGTAAACCAGTTCCGTTTTGTATGGCATGCGAAATGTGTTGCATTAGCATTGCTAATCAATTCCAGATTGACAAACAGGTGAGCATTCAACACAAAGACAATAAGATTTAGTATCACAACTAATACTCTTGCTCTGCCTATTGTTAAGAGTATGTTAGATTTTAAAGAGGCACATACTGCAATACATCTATCAAAAGTTACCAAAACTAAAAACCAGGAAGACAGATATTGAAAATGCTGATTAAAAAAGTTAAGAAGTATGCAACTGGGTAGCCCCCAGTGTAACATTTCGAACCCCGTTAAAATTCTTATGTAGGTTTTAAAGGCGCTAAAAAACAGCACAAAATTGTCAGAAATTGCCAATAGAGACAAGTAAAAATAAACAGGAGTTGACCGTAATCTTTTGCTGACCAAAACAATGAATGATATTGTATTTCCTACAAAACCAATACATATGATTGCTGGTAAACTCCACAGTAAAATTTCTCTCACATTCTCCTTCATCATTAAAAGTCGAGAGTAATCCGTAGAGTTATTCATTCCGCAGATTTTTCCGAATAGTTACTGATCCTGCTGAAATGTATGATATGAAGCATTTCAACTGATTGATGTGTTGAAGTGTGGGTGGCAGCACTGGTAAATCATATAGGCGTTTTTCTGCTCATTAACTAAAAGGTATAAAAAACGATATATAGAAATATAAGAGGAAATAACAAGCGGGAAACAAAGAAATAGGTAGAAAGTTTTTATCGAAAGAGTTTCATTGAGGCAACGATTTATTGAAAACTGTATACTCAATCGTATAAAAATAAAAGCAGTTTTCAACAAGGTATTTTCATTTTCCGTATTGAAACATTTTAAAAGTTACGACATGTCTACTGCATGGCTTTTAAAAAACTTTACGGCTGAATATTTATATAAACTTTATTTAAAGCTAATTTACCATCAATCTTTTTTCTTTTGTCCTCGGGTTTCGTTTATTTTTAGACCTCATAAATTAGCATCTGTTCTCTTCAGGGCATTATTTGTGAAGACATGAAGATTATACATGTACTAATATATCTATATCTACTGTATATATACTGTATATAGGAATTGAAGGCTATCATATGGTAGTAATACAGTAGTATTAAATGAAATAGGTAAATGACTACTTAGGTATTTTGAAAGTTCACCTCTTCAACGTTTCTTCCTCTTGAATTCTTGTCCATTATTTGGCCTTAGTTGAAAAGTAGCAACAGTTGCATAGTAATTTTCTAACCACAAATGCCACAAATTTTATATTGGAGATAAGTCTAGAAAATAAGGTGGTCTGGGTAATGGCTTTGGATTAGTTTTGTCCATAAAGTATTTCGCTGTCTTAGCTTTGTATTACAAGTATTATTTTGCTAAAAGACTTACTTTCCTATTACAGTTTCTTCCTTTCCTATTCCAAAAAATCTAAATGTAGTTTTTTGTGTAATTTTTTTCATTTTTGAAACACAGCTTCATGAAGAAAAGGTAAATTCGCTATCCAATCTCTATCTTCTCTTATTGAATTCTTCATACTGAGGTCTCTTAATTGAGCAATTGTAAAATTTTTTCAATTTATTTACCAAATTTATACAGATAATCTTGATTATGTATTGAAGAGATGATATCATGGAATGAAACAACTTCCCAAGACTCCACACATCACATTTTCTCGATTTTTTCATGTTAGGTTTGTAAAAACAGCCTCATACCATGGATAGCAGAATATGAGTGAAATTCTAGCAGTTAAAGCTATTCCCTCGATTTCTAGTATTAGTTAAATAGTTCTTGCCTACAGATATTTATCTTTATATGCAATTATTTGTGTACTTAGTAGTACATTGTTAGAATATTTTTAACATTCATCATAAACGTTTAAACAGTATCTTTATATTCACATTCATAGTATTTATATGTAATAATGTTACTCTCAGTAAGAAAAACACATTGACTTTTTATATATTATTTTATCAAAATGGTCATTTCGATAGATAAACCATATATAAATCATATGAAGTTTATAAGTACTAGTTTTGCATATAAATGTAGTTGAGCTTTGAAAGATTTATAATATTCTGTTGAGAAACACTTTTAAATTACTACTTAAGATAAAGGGGACATTTTCTGAATGATTCCGATAAAGTAGAATAATTTACCAGTCACGCTATGCTTAGCAGTGCTTAATTGAATAAAATTTCTGACAGCTTCCCCTCAACTCTCTGATTTAGTAATTATTCTGAATTTTCATTATTTCACATTCCTCAAACAGTAGCTAATTGTATTAATTTACTTAAATTTCCTGACATTCTTCTTTAGTATATTCCCTTGCTGTATGGAGATTTTTTCTTTTCTCAGCGCTCCTCAATCTTACCTCTTAAATGTTTCTTTCAAGTAAATAATTAAACATGTCTTTAACAGAATTACAATATGTTTTATTTATAATTCTACTATTATTTAATTTGACTTAACCTGGGATAAATAAAAAGAGTTTCATACTTGACTTGACTGTTTCTTCAGTAATGTAGAACTTACAGGAAATCGAATTAGAATAAATTAATAGGATATTGGTTTAAACTTAATAATGATACTATACAAGATATATAAATATATAGCATCATTCTTTATAGTTGTAGTATATTGTTATACTTTCAATATTTCTTTTTTATACTATATTTGTATTCCTATTGTTAGTCATTTAGCATATAGTTAATGAAGTTATTTCTTTAGTTTTCATATGGTATGCTTGTAGAGAATAGCTTTCTTTATAGTATAACGTCAACTTGTATGTCATTAATTGAGGAAATGTATGAATTATCTATTTTTATTCCAAAGCTGTTCAAGTTGGTGAAAAGTAAAGAAAAAAATGGTATAAATATAAAAAAATACTTTGCATATGTTTATTCATTCTTTGAAAAATTTATGTTATATTCAAAAGTAAAAATATATAATAAATGTTTATATGAATAAGGGAATAAATTCTTTAATAAATGAATAGTTAATTTAGATAATTTATTGGCCTTTTTCATTAGTAAAATAACGACAAGAAAACATTACCGTTTAGTAGAATAAACTGAGAGAGATTAAAAATTGTAACTTTTATAGAGTAAATAAAGAATTAATACAATTATATTATAAAACATGTAAAAAAAATGTTTTAACCTTAGTGCCGCACAGAAGGAGAGAGAGAGCGAGAGAGAGAGAGTGAATAATAGGAAACAAAGATATAAAGAGGAGGAAATAAATCGTTAGAAAACAGTAGAAGAACATATTTATTAATAAACATATTAAAGGCTAAGCTAGTAGCAGCTAATGGAAATAATTAGTTTTTCTTTCCACCAATATTTATTATACTAAATAAGAGGGAAAAATTTGCAAATAAAAAAAATAGGCAATGACTTAAAAGCCAGATATGAATATTTTATATATCATAATGCACAGAAACAAAGGATTTTACAATGTTTATGCTACAAAATAATAGATTTTTTTCACAAGAACATATATAGTGGAGCTCTTTGTATAATTATCATTGTGTTTGACAAGTGGATACTGCCTTAGGATTGAATAAGTTTTAAACGTCTTGAGAGAACACCACTAAAGAGTTTCAATATGTTAAACATGTAACTTTTTTTTGACATATAGCTAATATATACACGCATATATATATATATATATATATATATATATATATATATATATATGTATATATATACATATATATATGTATAGATATATACAAGCTATATTGTGTTCAAATTTACAAAATTAAGTTGTAAAGAAGGATTAATAAAATGCCTAAAAAAATTATATCAGTAAACAAAGTTGGAGATGTTGAACAAATAAATATGGACAATAGAAGAGAAGAATCAAAAAAGAAAGATATAAAGAAAAATTTCTATTGGTCTGTTCGTATTGTTAAATTTCTTCAAGAAATAAGTGTCATAGGTATAAAATATACTTTAATGCAAACTGCGTCTCTGACTCGACGATGCTTCTGGATAACATTAATTCTCTTTGGAGTTGGATTTATGATATATCAATTACAAGAAAGAATAAGTTATTATATTAAATATGACACAACAACCAGAATTAGATATAGACATGACAAATTTCTAAGATTTCCAACAGTCACCATCTGTAATGAAAATCGAATGATGAAATCGCTGGTGGCAGCCGAAGGTAAATACTTTGAAATGACTGCTGCTTGATAAATTTTTTTATTAGCAGGTCAAGGCATCGCTGATAGTTTGTACACCTTATGGCCTCCTCATCCGGACTTAAAAATTAACACTACAGTCTCTGATACCAATGGCACACTTTCCAATAATACGATTTTCGATTGGGGTGAAAAGTATCGGGAAGCAGCTCAACCAGGAAAAGATGCGATAGTCTCTGTACTAATTTTAATTATTATTATTATATATCTTTATATATATAAACATCTATATTAATTTAAAATTCTTATATGCTATGATTAGTGCTACTTCAATTTGAAGAAATGTTCTGCAAGTGATTTCATTACAGTTGCTACTAACATGGGATATTGCTTCCAGTTTAACTCAAGTACTAATTCTTTGAATATTTTCATCAGATAAATAGTTTTTTTGACTCTTATTATATACTAGGAAGTAAGAATTTTATTGTTCGAGCTGCGGGTGATAGAAATGCTTTGACCTTAACTTTAAATGTCATGCAAGAAGAATACACTTTAGCAAACGCGCCATCTGCTGGCTTTAGGGTAAACTTTTATTTTCTTTGATATTTTAATATTTCCGATTATTAAACTTCTCTTCTGTAATTTCTTCAACTTTTCAAGGTTTTATTGCATGACCCAGAAGACACTCCTGAGATGCTTGAGAATGGTATAAAGTTATCACCTGGTAATGATTTTGTGATAAGAATACAGAGAGAAGCAACAACATTGCTGTCCAAACCATACGGTGACTGTAATGAAGATAACAGCTATAGACAATCAGCCTGCATGAATAAATGTTTGTCAAAGTATGTAGTTAAGCAATGTGGCTGTAAAGGGGAAGAGATGCTTGGTAAGTAGAGGAGAATTGAAAGAGTAATACCTTTATACTATACTCCTCTTTATACTTATATTTTCAGTTGATGATTCTGTTCCAGTATGCTCTCCTTTAAATTTACCTTGCAATAAAGTACAATCAGATTTATATTACGCAAAAGAGATTTTCAAATCTTGTCAATGCCCAACTCAATGTCAATTTATCAAATATGATGCATCAACATCATATTCAATTTTTAGTGATTTTTTTAAACGTCTGATAACTAATGCAACTCATTATACTAAAACAACACTCGAAGGCAATTTTATTCAACTAAACATATATTTTTCAACAATGATCACAAGAGAATTGAAAGAAAAGATAGCCTACTCTTGGTTAGCCTTAATGTCCGACGTCGGAGGTGCATTTGGTCTAATACTAGGCTCAACTTTCTTAACACTATTTGAATTTCTGGATTTTTTGGTTGTTTCAATATCTGAGTCTCTGGGGACACCAACATCCAAGTCAACATAAGATGAGAAAATGTTAATGGCTCATTTAACTTGTTAAGAGAGGATGGAGAAATGAAATGTGTATCACTAAGCAATAAAACAATACAAATCAATGTAAAATAGGTCAAAAAAGAGTTTTTATCTAAAAATGTTTAAATAATATAATCAATTTGTTAATTAGTTAATTAACGATAAGATAAGATAACACAGAACGATAAGAAACAAACCAAAATTTGATACTTATAACATTTAGACATTTTGACATAGTTTTTTACATTCTTGGCGAAAAGTATGACTAAACATCAAATAAATAAATATATTAGAAATATTATTTATAAAATATGTAAACTGTAAAGCCTCTTTTATATTTATAGGCAATGTTTCTAATATAACAAATGGTATATAAACAACAATAAATAAGTATGTTACAAAAAAAAGCATTTTAGCAGTTTTAACGGCTTCTACAATATTCTTTGAATTGTTTCTACACCTTTTAGTTATTATATTGGGCCCATTTGAATCGACATCGACAACTCTTTTCCTCCTTATTCTATTTAGGTTAATTGTAACACTTACAAATGCAAGTACGTAGATAATTGTTAATATTAAAGTTAGCGCAAGGAAAGAAGTTAAAACTGTTACTTGATATGCAAATTCATGCTTGATTCTTAAATATTTAAATAATGAGGCGGACACTACAGCTATAAATAGACCGTAAAACAAAAATTTCTTCGCAACTTTATAGCTTAGAATCGTTGAAAACGGCTTAGCCAATGCGAAATATCTATCAAAAGCTATTACAATGAATACCAATATATTAAATATTAGAACAAGATGCAAAGCACTGTCAAAAACATAGATTCTAAATATCTGTGATAAACTATTCGTAACGTAGACTATAGAAAGAGGCATCAGCAATAGGCATGATGTTAAATCTGATAATCCAAGGATTAGGATTAAGAATTGCGAACTAGATCTAGGTCGCTTCCAATATATAATAATTATCATAGAATTGCCAATAGAGCCAATTATAATAAAGGTTGTGATTAAAATAATGAAAATTATTCCTATTGTATTGCTAACCAGCCATTTCTTATCCATAATCCGGTCAAAAAATGTCAATTAATCACCAAACTAAGAAACCAATATGAAGAAATTTTCCCATTTACTTATAAATACTAACCTCTGTCATTAACATATCATGTTGATAACATGTAATGAGAATATTTATTAGTATTCGTCAATGATTGTCCATGACGAGAATCACGTGACTGGATAAGGCTTGGACATGTTTTAGTAGCAGAAGTATCTAAGATAAAGATGAGTATCACGAAAAATGTAGAAGCATGTCTTCATAATCTTATAAGTTTCACGAATGCTTTCTTCTTATATTATTCATCTTGGGGATTTTCCAAATGTTTTTCCTTATTATTTGAGTCAATCTTTAAAGACGTCCAACTTATTTCTTTTAGGTGAAGTAAAAATATCTATCACGACCTTTGCTTGGTCTCATCGTACCCTTCTTTAAATTGTTGTCACTAATGAATTGCAGTGTAAAAATATATGCAGTATAGAAGCCATTGGAGAGACGTGAAAACTGAGTAGAATGTAAGAATTTAGGCTCTTTTTTTTTAAATTTTAATTTCATTTCCTCCCTCTCTTTTATATTACTGATTGTATTAGTTTTACTCCTCTTTTAATGACAAAGAACTTTCTTTGGGAAAAGATTCAACAGAGGAGATAAGGATAAGACAAAGGTCAGACGATACAATAAGTACAGCAGTCATATAAGAAAACTTTCGATCAATAACTATATACAGAGTATGGTAACATGTTTCTTTCTTTTTCTCAGTCTTATTTAATACACGCATTCTCTCCCTCTCTCATTCTCTTTTTATTCTCCAACACTTTACCATTCTATATCTATCTAAATCTCTTTTCCTCTTACTAGTCCTTAAAGTATTTACTAACATCTTTATAACTCCCTTTATCTTTTAACTTCCTATTAGTTCTTTCATATTAAAAACTTCTCAATGAATGCATCACATATGATGCTTAAAAAAATTGGTGCGACATTTTATTATTCCATTAATGATTCTTATTTCACAAAGACCTTTTATTTTATATGAAAAAAGGAAACATAAAAAATTAACAATTGACTATGTACTATACTATATGAATACTAACAAAAAAGATTATGTATAGATAAAGTAGTAGTGATATAAGATATACGTGTGGTGTTTATTTCATAATTAGAAAAGGTAATATTGTTTACTCAGTAGTATAATCACACAAATGGGTCGAAAGATAAGTAATTAAGAATTGATTTTTTCTTTCAAAAACAAATTAATTCTCCCTTTTTTTTAATTGTAACATTTACGTAAGAAAACACTAAGAGTGACTATTTTTGGATATTATATATTTTTCTCTTTCTTTTCCTTTGTCAAAGTAGAGAGAATAATATTTTAGCTGATGCAGAAAAGGTTAGAAGCATAACCTTTAACTTAACCTTAAGAAATAGAGGGGGAAAAATTCAATTTTTTTTGATCGAATACAATCTCTAACATCTTTCCTGATATTCAGCATTAATCAAGTAAAATATATGATGTAAAGCAAAAGTATTCGTTGTAGGATACTAGTGAAAACCATTGGAATGCTTGCTATTTTCCATATTAATTTCAATTGCAAATTTTATTAAAATAACCAAGTTGCTATATCCTCAACTCCAAGAAAAAGAGATCTTAAGAAGTCAGGTAAGTCATAAGTTTTCATTAATGATTGAAGTTTACCTTGGAGCTGGTAAATAAATCCTTCAGTCAAGTGTGACAATAGCAGTTTAGGAGTTGTTTGGAAGGGTTTCTTATATATTAGTACAAGTTTATTGAATATCAGTCAAATGAGCTAAAAAGGGAAAATATTTTCGGAATGTAGACAAAACAAATGATAAAAAAGAGAATAAAGATAACATGTAAAATTTCCTAATTCAGCGCACTATTTAAAAATAATATTCAAGTACAAATAATGTGTCTGTCTACCTAGCCCCTTAAATAGTACTGCATCCTTTGCACGTAAGGAAGGGCTATATGTGTAGTTTAACTACAATTTGAACAAAAGATTTCCTAAATTTAATTAATAAAGTTTTCAATTTCTATTGAAAGATATGAAAAAATCTTGAAGTGTTAAAATGTTTTTAAACATTAAGAAAAGATCCTCTTGAGTAGAAAAAACCAAGAATCTGGAAAGAGTAATTAAAAAAACAGCATATCATTAATTATGTGTACCGTTTTTTTTATATATTGAGATGAGGGAAGTGAAGCTAAACAACTGCAGTTTCTGCTAAGTTAAGGCATTCTTTTTCCATATCGTCTAAGAATCTTTCATTGTTTATGGGACTCATTTGGATATTTTCTGTTCTTGTTGAAGGCCTACTGTTATTATTATTTCTGCAACGACAGCAGACAACATTACGAAAAGCTGTTTTAAACTCAGATGACATAAAATTGTAGATGAACGGATTAACGCATGAGTTTCCATAAGCCAATATATCGCAGAGTAATCGTAGCAGTTCGAACCATACGCTTTTTAAATATATTTGCTTCATAGATAATATTGTGTTTAAATGCGTCGGCAACCAAGATAATAAAAACACCAAAACAACCACGACCATCATCTTCAAAGCTCTTCTTGTCCTCTCTTTTGCAGCGTCTATAGTATTATCATTTGTTTCATTTTTTAAGTGGTAGGCTATCAGAGCATATACTACTGTAATTAAAAAAGCAGGTACGAAGTAACCACCTATGCTCAAGCTTAGTAACACTGAATTGATATATTCATCGTCGATTCCACAATATACTATTCCAGCATACTTGTTCCCTTTGCTTTTAACGGTAGCAACTGCTACCAGTGGAGTATGTAAAGCCGAAATTAGTACCCAAATGCAGGCCGTCAATTTAGAGATATTTTTAAAGCTTCTGTATTTTGCTGTCTGAGTCGTATAGACGACTATAGCCAATCGTAGAAAAGATATAGCTATTAACAATGTTATTGTAATATCTGTTATTGTATATGTAAGATAAGTATAGATTTTACAAACAGCGTTACCCATTTGCAAACTGTTATCTAAAACCGTTAAATATTTTATAATTTTCCCAGGTATTACTGTTAGTGCAAAGAGTAGATCAGCCAAGGCTAGATTTAACAATAGAAAGTTTATTAAGGTCCGAAGTGCAGATTGCGAGAGAATGACACAAATTACTAAACTGTTACCACCAATTGCAATGATAGCTAAGCAGGCTAATGTTATTGGAGCAATATAACTGTAGATAAGAAGTGCAATTCTCTCCTCCAGTTTTGAGTAGTATGTATCTGATCCATTATGAATTGTAGAAGAGTTCATGGGATTCTGAAAAGCATAAAGTATTTATCCATTTTATTCATATTTCTAAGCTGTCAATTTGCTTGATAGCTGATTTTTTGCGTTGGTGGATTCTAGAATTTCCCCTTAATTTTCAATATGTACAAAATACTCTTCATAGTTTCATAGTAATTCTGTTACACTATTGCTTAAAACCTATAGTTCATTTTTTTATGCCTTTGGCTTTGCATTCTTTTCCTGGTTGCTCTAGATTGCGTACCCTTTAAGAACAGTTTCTTTTCAACATATTGAGAATTCGTGTTGTACTAGAGAGTCCGTTTTAGTTAACAGCTGAGAATGAATTTTTCAATATAGGCCTATATTATTCTGTAACAGGAAATCACTGTAGTAGATTACATATACTTCAAAGTTAATGAATCTGGGAGGTTTTTTTTATTTTGTGTTAAATAGAAAATGTTAAAAAAAGACCTAATTCGACCTGCGACCTATATTTTCTTTGTTTTTTTTTATATCAAATAAAAAACTAATAGTTTAGTTCTGTTGAAAATAGAACTTTATTGTTTATAAATATTAATTATATAATAATGATAATTTCAAGAGACGCAATTGGCTATTAAGTAGGTGTTCTTTTCGAACAAAATTGTGATTGATACCCAAAATCCAGGTATATTTATGATCATACAGTTACTTTGTTTTGAATGTTTTTCCATCTTCTCTCTCTCTCTCTCTCTCTCTGCCTTCGTTAGTTTTACTGTTCTCCAATCTATTTCATTCTCTTTCTCTCGTTTTTTCTCTCTTTGCCTCTATTACCTCTAAACATTCTCTCTTTCTTTCTCTTTCCATGTCCATCTCTCCCTCTCTTTTCTATTCGTCTCCCTATTTATTTCCTTTCTCATTGTTAAAATTTCTTAGAGATTATCATGAGTAAATATTATAAACGAAATTGAAAAATTGCTGTTACAAACGAAAACGGTGATTTATTAAAAAAACAATTAACAACTACTTGAAAAATCAATGACTTTTCAATTTTTTGTGACTAATTAGAGTAACCTAGAGTATAATTGGTTTAAAATTTTAAAACAAATATATTGCTGTATATATTTATATAGATGAATATACTTCATATACTGTATTTATATATCATATGGAGAATTTATCATTTAAAATTTTTACATTCTTTGCAGAAGGAAGGTTTCGTCACTGGGACAAGCACGCTCTAATTAACAATAGTGTATGGAGAGAAAGAGTACTCAATCTTTAGCTAGCCTTTAAATAATTTCGAATCTATTCAAAGCACGTTCTTGCTCGTCCAAATTTGTTCAATAAGGATTATAACTAGAATTAAAGCTTTTATATCGAAAATCTATTCACATCTGTTAGATAAGGTTTAATCTATTCTATAATTCTTGATAGATGATAATTTCTTAGATCTTTGATGGAAAATTTTTTTATATATATAATTGAGTATAAATTGTTGACAATTTCGAGTTTATATACTGACTATAAGTATATGTTAACAATTGTTAATTGCCAGAGATAAAATATTGCTGTGCCATTAATGATTAAAAATCGAGAAAATTTTGTTAAAATAATTGGAAAACTATTGGTAAAGTTTTTTATGTTTGAGAAAAAAATACAAAAGAAAGTAGAGGAGAAAAAGAAACATCAGTAGAAAAAGTAGCTATTTAAAGAACAAAAAAAAGAGAAGTAAAATTCTATAGCAAATGAATTCGTAATTGACTTTATTCATAAAAGTTTTACTTTTTATTATAAAGATTATTGATAAATTAAATACATTGAAAAGTAAAGGAACAGAAGTGTGAAAAATAATGATAAACTGATTTATAAGATAATTATTAAAAATCGTTACCTGTACATAAAAAATGATCCGTTTTGAGTAAATAGGATCAAGGTTAGTAAATACTTTACAAGTCAAGTTCAATGTAAGTTACTTTAGCTTACTTTTTTCCCTTACGATTTAACTCCTATTCCTTAAGGATATTATATAATTCTGAGTAAAATAATCGTAGCAAAAAAGGTATTAAATTTCTCCAGATCTTCATATTAAGCTAATTAGTAAACGTCAAAAGAGATTTCTGAGGGATAAGGGATAAAGTAATTTCTATTGTAGTATAAAATTTCAACTTGTTAGAAGGTTACTTGATAAAAAATAATATTAAAAAAACGATATTAGATTGTCAGCTAAAAAGGATAAATAATACTTTAGACAATCTTAAATACACTACGAAAGTAGAGAAGGTTGACAAGAGAAACTATTCCTAATAGGTCTGAATGAACTTGTAGTTTAAACTTGATAATTAATAAGTAAAAACTGAATTCGTAATTATTTGATATTTAAATGAAATAGAGACAATACTTTTATCTACTTTTATATATACCGTAAATACAAATTCTCTGTATAAATAGAATAAGAAAACAAAGAAAAAAGGTAAGTTTAAACTAAACTACAATTTGCTTATATGATGTAATTAGTGTAGCTTTTAAAAACTTACTAAATATTCCAAGTACAAATTTTGATGTAATAAAAAATTATAAATTAAAATAACTCAATTAAAATTTACAAAGAGTTAATTAAAAGAAATTAGCAAGTTCAATTTAAATACAAACCTCGTGCATAATGCAGAGAAAAAAGTAAAAACCTGCGTATCTGACAGTGAAATGCAGCCGTGATAATGAAAGCGACACGCACTGCCACCCTACTTATATACGTGTTTCCATATTCATTGTATGCAAATTCTTTGCAGTTATACCGTTATAGTGTTAGTTAATCATATAAAATTATCAACTTTTAATCACTTTTATGATTTGCTGTTGTTCAGTTTCAACAAATTTTTAGATCATAAAATCTTTTATATTGGTAAAAAAAAAGAGAGTAAAAAACTAAAAAAAAATATACTCTGTCTATCCGTCTGTGTGTCTGTCTCTCTTCTTTCCTTCTCCCTCTCTCCCTCTCTCTCTCTTCTTACCTTCGTTGCTTTCCCCCTCCTTTTATCCTGTACATTGCATGTATATTTATACTTGACAAGAAAGTAGCTATAAATATACTATATACTTTTAATTGCAATCTATTTTCATTCTTTATGTATATATATACAAGGTATATGCTGTATGCACTACACATATACCGTGTTATATATTCGCTACAGATATGTATATATAAGTATATACGGCATTTATTCCTATAAGCACTATTCACTTGTTAACAAACAAGACAGACAGAAATTTTCTCCCCTCTAAATAATATTCCCAAAATACGTGTTCGTGACTTACACAATTACACTATATGCATAAAAAAATGTATTGTTATCTGATAAATCCTTTTCCAAGTATAATAAGAAAGAGTGGCAATATTTGGTACAAAAATCTATGATGTTTTCATACTCAAACAGTACAAGTTTTGCGTTATATAATAGAATACTTTGTAAGATGCAAAAATGACATTGACAATGAGAATTTTCCCAGTAAAAAACCATCACGTACTTATATCTGGATGCGGCTTTTAAGCATCCCTCAAAAGCTGTCCAATAGATTCATATAATAATCAAAGAATTAGGAAAAACATTCACATTGGTTGTTTTTCTCTAAGCACGCTTTAACTAAAATCGATACTTTGAATATTGAACCGTTCTGCATAATTAAAACAGATGTTGCTGGCCTAAGTTAAACGTACTGCAAAAGCTTCCCTGCAGCGATCATTTAAGAGATTTTTTCTTATTTTTGAATGGATAAGGGTAAGATATTTTTCAGAATGCATTAACGGTGCGGAATCAAGAGTAGGAAAGTAAAAAGATGTATTATCTATTTTATTATACGTATGAATACTTCAATGGAATTCGTATATAAATTAATCTAATAGTAATTTATCCTTCCTCTATCCCTTACTCTACTAGCTATCTATCCTATTAGACGATGAATATAAACTAAACGAAATATTAACCAGTTGTAATAAATTAATATATCAATCTGTAAATATAATATTTTACTTATATGAAAAGCTAAATATATAAATATATTCATTACAGCAATTGTATTCGTCATATGTAATAAAAAATCAATTTTAACAGTGCAATATCCTTTGTTTATTCATTCTATCTATAAAAAGAGAATAGCAAAAGGTATATTATAGTTTAAGTATAGGAATTTTAGGAACAAGAAAATTGCAGTCGTATTGCATTAAACTAGCATCTAAATTATTTGATAGAATAGAAATTATTTTCATACTCCAATTTGTAACTTGAGCTTATATTAAACCTTTGGGAGTTTTTTATATTCATTTCCCCACCTCCACACCCCACCCCTCCAGAAATATTCAAGGTATAATAATAATGGCAATAATAATGAAAAATCCATTTCTTCCAAAGAATAGCCCATTGCGTAAAAACGTTACAAGATATTCTTGTCTTTAAGAGATTAAGTAGAAGACAGAGATTAACGTTAAACCAATTCGTTAAAATTTGATACAGCAATGTTTAAATTAGTTTGCTCGTCAGGTTCTTCTTTTCATTAAATTGTATTTTGTCTTACTAGGTGATGGATAGTTTGCCTTATGTTTCATCTCTTTTTACTCTCTGCTAAAAAAAACTGAAGGTTGAGGATAAAACACTGAAAAATGTACTTAGGAGAAAAGCATCTGCTAATTTGAAATTTACTCACTTTTCTTCTCTTTTTCCTTACTTTTGTCTTATTTTATCTTTATCTTTCTCAGCCGCCTCTTTATTCCTTTCTACATATATATGTACACACCTTTATCCTGTTACATCCTTTTCTTTCTCATTTATTATTAACCTTGCTAAAAGAAATATGGCCAAGTATATATGCTGTTAACACATTGCCCTTACAAAAAGTATTCTTTATTTCATCTTCTTCTTCTTTCTAGCCAATGGTGTCGCCCGATTAAATAGTCATTTTTCCTCTATTATAAAAAGCAATATACATGTAAATTAGTTTTTATAAAATAACGATCAAAACATGATAATTAAGGTAATTAGCATAAATCAAATTTTTTTAAAATCTAATAACTATTTTCAGGTGTAATTACTGCAATTGTTTTATGTTCCCTCATTGTTGTCACAGTATTCTTATCGTTATGCATACTTTTATACTGTAAAAGGTAAGAAGTTGAGACCTCTTCGTATAATTTCTCAGTTCACCTTTCTAAATAATCATAATAATATATTTAATTGCTTTTCTATTTATAGAGTATATATAACAAATGTAAAGAAGAATTCATTGAAAACTACCAGCTATTCAACAGCTACTGATCCAGGAATATTTGTTGTATCTAACTCTAGCAGAAGCCAAAACAGTAGATCTTCTTTTTTACAACGTAACATTTTATACGAAAGCAAAAGTCCTAATAATTCATTTTATCGACCTAATGTAACGTTCTCTAAAGAAGCTGGCTGTCAGGCTGATCTAGTTCAAACTGGAAAATGCATGCATTGTCGACAACCATTTTCCTCTATTATTCTAATTGGATCTGAGACTGATGAAAGAACCAAGACTACACCAATTTCCAACGGGGACGATGGTCTTATATACATTACGGACGCCCGATATGTTAATAGCGAAAACACTGATGAAACTGACAGAATTCGCCCTGATACAGCTAGCGAAAATTTATTAGAAGTCCGTGAAGAGCCCTTTATACAATTAAAAACGAAAAAGGAGCATTCCACACCCTTCATTGTTGTAAATAACCACCGAAATGATGAAAGAGATTCTCCTCCTATTTCGCCATCCAATTTCAATTTAGCAGGTTCGAATAGAGAAGTTGAAGAGGTTTTCATATGTAATGATACAGTGACTGAACATATCAATACTCCATTGTAATATTCTTCTATTGACCCTTATTGTGTAAAAAATGGTTACTTTCTTCTTTTCACTAATTTGTTTTTACTAAGAGGAAACCAATTTAGTATCTCTTTACTACTTTCTATCAATACTTTAAGTATATATATATATATATATTTGAAATGAGAGTTACACATTGTAAATACTTGTATCTTAACCTTTGTCATGTTTTCGTTTATTAAATATCTTTTATACGCTTGGAAAAACAATAAAACAAGAAAGAGCAATCTATTTTCTTTTTCATTCAAAATACTAAATGTAAAAATTGTTAAATTGTAGAAGGTTATTGATTATTTTATTCTGTAAAAGAATGTTAAAGGGTAAAAGCTAATGTTGATCTAATAGAGCTGTTCCAGTTTTTGTTATATGCCTTCATTTTTCTGTTATAGTAAATTGGCAAAAAAAAGGAGCTACGTAAAAACTTGCAATAGAGATACTTGTATCCTCGTATTTATTATTGTTATATAACAGAATTTCATATATATTATACGCCTATTCATTTTATGGAATGAATAAATAGCAGTCAAATGTTGCTTTGATTATTTCATTCTACAAGCTGATCTAAACAAAAATATATATTATACTGTTTATATGTATATACATATATTGAATTTATTATATACCGAATACAGCTTTCATCGTAAGTAAGTGGACGGTATTCTAAATTAATATAGACAATACAAGCTAAGCAACTTAGGTAGCAAAAAGCTAAGAATTTATCAACGGCTGATAAAACGATTGACATTTATATATGATTTAAATACTGTATAATGTAAGCATGTCATGATTGTACAGCCCCTGTTGGAGATACTGGATAGTAATTTTTAGAGATTTGATAGGTTTAACCTCCTCTCTAAAGGTAACAGTTGATGTTATGCCTATAAAATTAAGTAATTGTGGAATATATTTTACCAATCTAAAGATTCAAAATTATTTATGTTAAAAAACGTTAATTTTTGGAGATGACCATCATTCTCTGGAAAGATAGTTCCTTTAACTTCTTGACTACAGTATCAGAATATTAAATGATTAATTATAAATGATATATCTGAGCTCATAGTTTATGTGTTCATTCTCCAGCTATTTAGTATATTTTTTATTGGAATAAATGACAAATATGTTTTAAATGGTACATTTGATAAATGAAAAATCAAAATGAAATACATATGTAAATTTATCAAAATATCATATATTCTGATATTTAACTGAAATATATAATTTTTCATTTTCTTACTTTTATCTCTTAGCATCTATTATTTTTTGTCCTTTTTTGGGTGAAGGAACATTAAGAATATATATGTATTCCTTTTCTTTCTTTCGTTCTTTCCTTCTTTCTATCTATATCTCCCTCGCTCCCTCGCTCCCTCCCTCCCTCTCTCTCTCTCTCTCTCTCTCTTTTCTCTTTATATGTCTTGTTTTATTCCTATTGGTGGCTTCTTTATCATATAAATAAGACAAGAAGGTACGATAGATTATGTAAGAGTTTTGTAAGAAACTGGTTAGGAAAGTTGTTTGTAGTTGATTTAGGAACAATTCGCAACTAATTATATATTTGTTTAAGGAAACGATTTTTTGTTTGTAGCATATGAGAAAACTTCAAGCCAACGTAATCAGAGCGTTGAAGATTAACGAGAGCTACAAATGGAATTTTCAGGACCATTGTAGAATATAGGAAGCGACTAGAGCACGAACTGAATTGTCAAGATTTTCTTCTTGTGCATATTTTATTTAGCATATTAGCTTTGGTTTACTTTTTTTTATCTTTTAATTAATATTTTAATTAAGAAAATTAGAAAAATAAATATAGTATTATGACTTTATAAATCTATTATGAATCTTTAGAAATAATAAACAAATATCATATTTAATCATTTAATTATATATCATCTGTTTCAAGTATGATATTTTTTGATGTTGAAGAGAGATTGCAAGTTATTTTAATATGGAAATCTTGATTCCTAACGAAATTTAAAGTAATAAAATTTCCAGATATTTTCATACTATTCGTATTTTAATGTATTTTAGTCTCCATAGAGATTACAAAGTCGATGGAATCCAATTTATTTATGCCTCTACTATACAATAAACCTTAAATCTAGGCCTAAGACTTCCCGGAAAAAAACAGGCATTTTTTAGTAATACCATACTGAGGCTCTCTTCTCTTCTAAAGCTTGCAATTTCAATGCTTATATACATATATATATATATGTATACTGTATATATATTTATATTTGTGCCATTGCGTCTTAAAAAGCAATATTTGACATTAACAGCCATTTTTCAATTAACTAAAGGGACTTTGACAAAAAAGAAATTAATCGATAATGAAAATTTAGTTAGTTCTCTTAAACTAGTGGCGACATCTACTATTAGCTTTTTTGAAGCACTCTTTCTAGAAACAAAAGTGACATTCATTTTTTTTCTCTACCCGCTCTACTCACTTTCGCAATTTTTTAAGTGTCAAAAATATAAAGAAAACCGAAGAAAAGAGGAGGAATTATGAAACAAATAGAAAGAATCTACACAAAAAATATTTTTCATAACTTTTACTTTTATATACAACGTTTCCTTACAACTTATAAAAAAAGAAAATAGACAATAAAAGACATAGCTATATACAAATTTTTGAAATACATATGTGTGTATATATACCACAATTTAGTACACTGATGGAAGTTAAATATTAGTTACCTATGGCATAGTTTATATAATAATTATATAGAAGTAGGTGAATGAAGTTGTTACATAGCATCACTCATTTCTTCTTTTTGTCGTTTCAAGCCTAATAATTTCACAATCATAAATTTTTCATGATGTGTTGAAAGCTTAAACCAAAACCGATATGGTGCACCAAGCAGACAAAGCACAAATATCCAATAAAAAGTTTCATTAAGGCAAAATGGAAGATTAACTCTATCCGGATAAACAACAAGTTTGTCTTTAAAACCAGATATTTCATACATCTGTTTGTAAGAATTAAAAGATATTAAGCTTTATGAATAGTGAATGGACACAATAGTTTATCATAAGCATTTGAAGTAAATGAGCTTAAGTAATATCTTCTCTACCTCGTGCAAGTAAACGTGCTCATCAATTTCATGGCATTCCCTATTAAATTCCTCCCTCTGATTTTTATAGGCCTGCTGAATGCTCTCATCTACAAATCCGTAAGAGCAAGTTAACTTGACCTGTAAATATTTATTTTTCATTTAGGATATAAACTGTAAATATATATTTATATCTCCTTACCCTGGTAATCCTATTTGACCAAAATCCAGGAAAATCCCCAGATAGATCTAAGCAGATCTCGTATTGGAACCTTTTTTCTAATTTTTGAGTAATTACTTTACGCCTCTTACTACTGAAATAATGAAGAAACTGAACTTAATGACAATGCTTTTAAAAGAGCCCGTTCTCTATTCTTTTTTTTTATCTAAAAGACATATTTATAAGTCCATACCAAGTCGAATCCTGTTTTTCAAAGTGAAAACATTCAGCACGCCTGTAAAAATGGAATATAGTGAGGAAAATGAAAGAAATCATTAAAAACGAATTATATAGTTAGATTTAATGATAACTTCTATCTTCATTATAGAAAGATCAACCAATTTGGATGTATAATGTCAAATTAGTCTGTAAACTTCATTTTTATAATTATTTTCTTTCCATTTATATATAAACTTTACTTTTTGACTATTATATTATTCCTATTATCTTCACTACTTCTTAGTCTACGTTCTATTAGAGCTTGTTTATTATCTAAAATTTATAGCTAATTTTTATCAATATTATATCACTTTTGAAGACGAGTCAATTCTAATAAATAAAATATCTGTAAGCGTAGAAAAGGAAGTTTATGCTCGAAGCTTTCCTGATTAACTTTTATTACAGATTAATATTAATGATATAGTCGATATTCGTATTTTGAAAATTTTCTTAGAAATTAAAATTAATGTTATTTACATTTGAAGAAAGATAAATTGTAAGAAAATGATACAAATTTGGAGAAAAGGAATATTAGACAGAAAGAGAGAGAGAGAGAGAGAGAGAGAGAGAGAGCGCGAGAGAAAGGGCTAAGTTCAAAGCAAGGCTATGTGATTTATATGAGTATGTTAGTATTAAATTTACCATATAATATGTGCATTTTTCTTTTTCATATTCTGTATGAATTGAAGTGCTCTCTCCGTATCGTAAATTTCACTTGTATAATACTTTGTATCGGAGAAGTAAGATTCTATAACGATGACAACATAAGATGTGGCAAGGAGTATCCACATGGGTACAATTATCGATATCTTTGCGTTCTTCTGCCATTTACGAACCGTTATACAATTCCAGTTCGGATCGTTTTCATGCTCTTGTAATGCTGTCGGAATTAATCAATTGATAGATGGCGTTATATAGGCGTATTTATTTTGCTGTATACATAGCTCATCCTTGTCTTTTATTTCCCTCGTGTCATTATATTTTTTTGTACATTTTATGGTTTCATCATAAGTAGCTGAAATGAAGATATTTTCAACATTAAATCTCATATAATGATCCCTTTTTAACGTTGTCTTTATCTCTTTATCTTTATTCCTAATTAGTATATTGATTAAAGATTATGAAAGGAAAGAAAAGCTCTTTCCCCTTTTTTGTGCTCTTCTATTTTGTCTATTTAAATATTAAGTAAGTGTAATTTTTCATCAAATTTTGAAAAAAGTCTAATAAGAGCTTGTCAAAAGAGAATATTACGTTATTACTTTTTGAATATCACTCTCTTTATTCTGGCACATGCTATTTCTGTCATATACTTTCCCCCTACCTCCCCTCTCTCTCTCTCTCTCTCTCTCTCTCTCTCTGTGTCTCTCTTCACCCACCCACCCCTCTTTCTCTTTTAAGACCAATATGCGCAGGATTGATTTTCTTTTGACCAATAGCCCTGTATTGCTGTTGATGCGTGCTCTGATTTTCTATTCGTTCTCTTTTTTTTCTTTTTTTACAACCCTATCATTCCTTTTATCCTTTATCATTTGTTTTGTTAAATATTAGTATCCCTCGTTTATAACTTATTATAAAGGAAAAAAGTAATATTTGTTGTTAATTAAAGAGAAAAAGAGAAATTGAATCCTGGTAGATAAATATCTAAATAGAAACATTATTTACGATAATTGGTTTTTTTTTCTTACATTTATATGCGACAAGTAGAATGGATAAAGCTGTAAAAAACACAATATGAGCGAGTACACTAGCGCATATTCTTAGTATTCGAATTTTTGATGCAGTTGGCTCTTCAACGTACATCTATAGTAAAGGAAAATGATACAATAGCAATATGTAGTAATGAAAATGTAAAAAACCTGTCCGTCCAAATTTGGTTGGGGTTTAAATAATTGAATTCCATCAGATTTAATGGTATATTCCAAATTATACTTTTCATCTTCAACACTTATTATTATCTGTTTAAATGAGAAGAGAAGAGAAAAGAAAATAAATTATTTGCCTCTCTCAAAACTAAAATCCCCTAAATCCTCCTCTTTAGCCCTTTTCCCAACCCAACACTCCTTTTTCTAAGCTTTGTTTGCATTTCATAATTACTTCTTTTGGGTAGGCTTCTTCCTTATCGCTTCCATCGTCTTCATCTGTTTAACCATACACAAACTTATGTGACCAGCATAAATTAATCTTAATATATAAAATACATCTGTATGCATTAATATATAAACATTCTATATTTGTATAATAAAATATATGTTTTCAAATGTATTTACTCATGAATGCATCAATGTTTAAACTGTCTTTGAACTTTTATTACCTTCAGTATATAACCAATAAAAAATAATAATACTAACGTTCTAGCAGTTTGTCATGTTGCGATTGTTCGGTTTGCTTGCCCCTGTAAAGATTTTTTACGCTAAATTAGTCTACTTATACCAATCTTTCTTACGATGAGGAGTCTCTCCTTACTAGAGAATTGATTAGCTATAAAAATATTCACAGTTAAGTTGAAAGATGAGAATTTTAACATAGGGGGAAACAAGAGAATTCATACAATATAGAAAATGAACGTTTTATAAAAAATTAATTAAAAACTTTTACAAAAAATAGAGAAAAACAGTTTTCTTTTGCATAATAGGCCTATAAACCGGAAATTAGTATATGCTTCAAAACTAAGAGGTTTGCATTGAAAATATTCTACACCAATACATTTTTCTTTCCTTTTTCAATAAAAAGACGAATTATCAGATTTTTTCTTTGTTCTAAAAACAGGACAAAAAGACATATATATTCTTTTTCTGAAATACTATAGTTTACCTAGATTTCGGTTTTTTTTTTAATTGCTCACGAACACCTTTTTTCTTCCAGCTTATACGTCTTTTTCCACATTTGTCTAATAGATGGCTAAGTGCAAACATTTCCCTTTTTTAACGAATCTATTAAATACCTTGTACAGAATAGATGTACGGAAATTTCCATAAGGTAAAAGTATCAATTTGCGATGATAATTGCCTCGAAAACAGGATAAATGTACCTATTACTGTTTGTGTGTTTTAGGACAAACAATTGTCATGAGTACAAAATGGAACAATTGGAATATATACATTATCTCCCTAATGCTTTTGGTTATTTAAATACAGTAGTTTTGATTATACAAACTCATGGATGGCTATGAAGAGCTTACTTTGAACATAGATTGGTAAATTTACGATGCCACAGACATAACTGATACAAGTGCACTACATCAAACGTTTTATGGAAGCTTCCAACTATTACACAAAACAAATAGTAGGTTTTTTATTATTACACAATTCAACTATCAGTTTTTTTCTAAATGACGCTTCCTTTTTTTTCTTTATAAGAATGTGATTATTATTTACCTGTCACTGTCTTTTAACAGTTTCTGTTTAACTACAACTCTTCCGCTGGATCTTCTATCTCCTTTCCTCGCCTTGAATTTAACCAATTTTGGTCTACCAGCATCAGGATTTGCCTGTAAACTTCTAGCAGCTTTAAACCACATATCTCGTTTAGTCAGATAGCTGACGGCGTCTCGTTATTAATTCCTATAGTTGGTCACGTGGTTCATTCCATATAAAATTATTATATGAGGGGCGTTCCGAGGAATATTCTTCAACGTTTTCAGATCAGGACGCTGACTGAGGCGTTACTGGAACGGAGTAGATAAGTGTACTGCAAAATGTGCTGGCCTTGTTGCGCTATTGATTTGACATTTGTATTTGCCATTTTATCCAGCAATACCCCTATTTCTTAGTAAACGATTTTTTTCGTGAAGCGATTACCAATGATGCTTCACAGCATCCTCACCGTTAAAGTACTTTAAAAATGGTAATTACATTGAAACAGAAGAAGAATGCATAAGCATACTAACTTCCACAGCATCATCTAGTTATAAAATCTATCAAGAGATGGCGTACCAGCTCAAAAATTTTTATTTTTTAATGGTAAACAAATTGTATTTCTAGCCAAAATGAGAAAAGAAAACATTAAAAAAAATATTTGAAAAAAGTACATATATTTTTATAGGTAAACAAAAAAATTAAACAATAAACCTGCTATTTATACAATACATGAATAGTGATTTATTATAGTAAGCATATACGTTAATATATATGAAAATTAATATCTGTATAAACTATCCAAGTATACATAAAGTATATATACTGCATATATTGTGCATTAGTATATATTATACTATATAGATTTGTGTATTTGTTGCACTTTTCTGGACTTTTATTAGCCTCTGCAAATTATAGTTTTCTTGTTTGTCCGAAAAGTAAACTCCTGCAGATCATTTTTTCCTTAATGTTCTTGGTTCAATAACCAGTGGAAGGAAATTGATGCATTATCCCCCCTCTCTCCACAACTTTGTTGCTTTTTTTAAGATAAATATACCACAAAAGAGCGTGAAAACTCTTTAAACTACCTCTTTGTAATAATTAAAAGGGTGACGAATATTAAGAAATTTCTCTTATAAACAGAAAGTAATAGGCCTATGTATTAATTTAGATGGCAGCACTGCTGCAATTAACAATATCAGTAATATCTAATCAATGGATAAGCAGTATATGGTTAGATGTCTCTTATTTTTGGTGTTGAATAAATTTCAAGTAGAAATTGACCAAGAGAAACAAAAGGAGAGTATAACATAACAAAGGAAAAAAAACAAACTGCAATAATAGAAACCGAAAGTTATAATTTGCCATAAAAAAGTCATAAAATAATTTCTCTAGATACTAATGTCAGTCATGCTAGATTTCGGTTGTTCTGTAGAAGTTAATGTAGCTATCCTTTTGGGAAATACCAGCATGTTTGATCTTAACTTTTTTCCTGGTTTTTCTTCGCCACGAGAAGAACTCGGGAGAGATTTCGATATGAAACTCGCTTCCTTCTTCGTTTGTAAGTTTTCTAATGATTAAACAAAAACATATGACGTTAAATTAGAATGTAATGATAAGAAGTATCAATCCTACTGTTGTTTAACAAGTATTAATTTTTTTCTGCAAGGTTACTCTTTCCTAACATGTTTTTAAATTATATAAATCAATGATATCAGTGTTCGTATAATTGTAGAGAGAAAAAAAGGAATATCAATTGAATATGAATGGCTATTTATAACTAAAACAAACTGAATATCCATTCAATGCTGATTGAAAAGATGCCAATAGATTGTTCTTATCTAAGGGAAAGAGAATGTAAGGGAGAGAACCGCAGTGAGTTGAGAGCCAATTGTACTAAGTTAATAACATAGTTTGCTATTGCAACAATCTTATTTACCATTCCGTTTGATAGGGAATCATCGAATTATAGAAAATCTCTTAACTCTTATTGTACTTTATGAGTCAATAATAGACAAGGAATAACAAATAAAGAAAAATCTGTAAGAATATTCAAGTCACGATTTGTTTAAAAGAAAATAAAAGAAAGAAGGAGAATTCAGTTTCAATTAATGATATACTCACTTAAGCTTTAAAAAATTATAAGAAATGTTATTTCAAAGAAGAGTGAAGAGAAACCATGATTAGACTTTTAAAATTCCTATACTGACATACATAGACATGTATTACCATTTTGATATATATACAGTATATAAATTTATATATATATATATATTAGTCTATACCTATATAGACGCTCATAATACATATATATTACAAATGTCTTTATACCTAAAAGTATCATTTAATAATTAATTAATTGTTATTGAAGAAGATTGTTTCTCATATCCCCAACACATTAATTAAATTAATGACTCATTTTTTAAAGAGATATAATAGGTATATTTCCATAGACACCATTTTAAAATATTTTCCGTAAATGGTTATGCCTTTTTTTAACTATTAAAGGAAGTTTTTCAATTTGTCAGATATATTTAAAGAAATATTTATATAGGATAGCATTTCTATTATTTTAACAAAATAAGGTATATAATTTTAATAATACAAAAGCAATAGTCAATACAGTTTTAGTGAATTTTAAATGGAATAATGAATGTTTTCATTGATTCTATAGCAAAGGTGTTGAGATCAATGCCTTTGTTTAAAAAAGATCTAGAAGGAAGGTCGCTTCTGGTCTTGACTTTTTTTTATATATACAACAGTGTATTAGATTTATAAATACAGTGAATATTAGTATCGTCAGTATATGTATTGTTATTATGAAAGATCTACTCAGGTTATTAATCGTCAGAAATAGCTATCTTTAATTTGTACGCTCTCATATTAATATAAAAGATGCTCATTAGAAAGAATAGTTTCTTCAAACCCTGTAGGCTATTGTGTTTAGCTTCACTTTCAATTCAGATTTGTGCGTCAAAATTAGTCACTACGTCTTTTTCGTCAGAATTAAAAGTTTATCTAATTATTGATGTTTAACTGAGGAAAGCTGATATCTTCATTAAAAGAAAATAGATATATCCATATATTTCTATAAAAAATCTATATTGGCAATTTATACATTTCCTTTCTTTACAGTTTTTCTTCCCTTTTATGGCCAAACAATTCATTTTGTACTTTGCCTTTGACACCTTCCAATAGATAGACTATGTAAAAATTTTAATGTAATAAAATTTCAAGCCTTGACGTCTATCATTTATATTTAGGTATTGATTAATAAAATCAATCTGTGTCAACATCACCTTAAAATCATTTTTATTTTCAATTTACATAAACAAGACTTCGAATGCTTTCAATTACTTACTAAGTAATCAATTTGAACTAGAACAACCTAAAATTTAACAGCCTTGGCAATAAATATTATTGTGTTTGATCCTCAAAAGAATGGATCATTAATATTGATACCAGCTAATTTGTCTGAAGCACTTATTCTATAATTTTACTTATTAGAATGAAAGAAGAACTTAAAAAGGGAAAGGAATTAGAGATATAATTTATAATTTACAATGCATATAAATCAGCAAAATATAGAAAAATTATATCTATAAATATAGATATATATATATACTAATGTATATTTATATATATATATAGATATAGTGAATAAAAGTATGAGTAAATATATGCTCCTGAAAGATGAATAGTGTGAATTGAAAAAGCTACGTCTTAATAAATGTATATGGCTTAAATGACACAAATAATAATATTAATGAAGTTATTTTCTTTGAATTTCTTTTTAAGAAACCGACTTAAGTGTTGCATGTCGTAAATGCTTTAAGTTTTATTGAGTCAATACGTCTCTATTTGAAAAGTATTTAATTGCTTACCCTCATTATTTCACTGGAAATTTAGTAAGAAATAAACGTTTTCTAATCTCAGAAGCGCAACTAACACTATGGAAATACATTTGCCAAATGATTTAGAATTTTAAAAGAACGAAGTAGGTATCTAGGCAACAACACCTTTTCTAGTTGCTCATTACCAAAAACCTTAATCTAGTGTATAAAAGTCGATTCTTACCAACTTCCAATTGAGATTCATTTTTGAGCATTTCGTAATTCCTCACTTCATCTATCATTACTTTATTAACAATCTTTGATACATCTATATGTCCCTCCATCATTTTGAATCTTGTCGTTGGCAAGCTCTCCTTATATTTCCTTACTTCATATTTCGTTTTATTTTTCAAGTGATACCTTATAAAGGAAGCAACAGCCAGAAATAATAATATGAGGAATAAAATAGGATAAGGAATATAGACTAATTCCGGTGAGGAAGAATTCGTTGAACTTGTAGAGTTGAGCATGATCCTACTTGAAAATTTTCCTGTAATAAAAAAATGATCGTTTAAGTAAACGCCAAGGCGTCTAGAAAAATGTTTACAAACTGCCACGTTCTATTTTACAATCAATTTTGTTGTTCGCTTTTCAAGATTAGCAGAGTTCATCTTTATTTGTTAACTCTTAGAGCAATCTACCTTTACTGTAAGAAATTAACTATAAAACTGAATGATCTTAATTTATCATAAATTTCCGTAAATTACGAATCACCATGGATACGAAGAAACAAGATACAATAACGAATATTGAAATAAATAGGCTTAAGGCACTATACACCCATAAAATTGATATAACGTGATTTCCTCTTAGGAAGGTAAACGTACCTGTATGGTAAAAATTTCTTTAAACCAAGCAAAGCGAAGAAAAAAATATATCTGTAAATCTTCTCTCCTCATAAAAAGTTGTCCACATGTAGTATGCAAAAAAAAAAACTTGCAACCTCTTTGCTTCTCTCTTACCTCTCTCTCTCTCTCTCTCTGTCTATTCTCAAAGTACTCACCCACTCAATTAATTACTAACTTTCACTGTCTCTGTTTTTCTCGTTTCGTACCTTCCCAGCCTCCTCCCCTTTTCTGCTTTTTGACTCTTACGCTACTTTGAACAATTTTCTAAAAGTATAACTGTCCTCCAATTCTGCATTTATTAAATGATTCTTATTAATAAAGTATCCTAACCGTTATCTATTAATTACTTTGCAGTATATTATCCATTAAATTTTACTAATTAACTAGTTTCCAGATTTCTTATTAATTTTTCAACGAATCCTTAAGGCAAAAAACTGCTTGTAAAAGATGAACTTAAAAGATCCGAGTAAAGAGAAAGAACGGAGAGGTAATGCAAAGACAAGACTAAATAAAGCTGATTGATTAAATGAAAAAAAAGGTATTACAGAATGACGATCGTATGTCGCATTATAATCAGTAAAAAAGCGGAAAATGGAGGCACCTGTTGGATTTTTTTTAACCAATTTTTCCCATTCTTTCGATTAAACGAGCTTCTCCCTTTTTATACTCTGTGTCTAGGTACCATTGATGTAATTATTACCTATTTTTTATCACGTATCCAAGTGTTGTGCTACACTTTTCATTAGATGCAACATTTTATACCTCTACTTATTATGATATACTGCTACTGCTCTACTTTTCATATTTCTTATGGTTTAATGATTATCTTTTTTTCTTTGATTTTTTAAATCTTTTATCAAGAAATTAATTAAAATAATAGCAACAGTATTCTCTTTCTCGTCTTTCTCGTCTTAGTTTAATTGTTAATAAGATAGAAGTAACGTATAGCAAAAAATTGTAATGTTAAAGCAGAGTATGTAATGTCAATATTCTCTTTGAAAAGATGTTAGAAATAAAGATTAAGCATCTTTTTTCATCAATAAGCCTTCACGGTAAATGATATAATTTTATAATACTTTGAACATGTATAAAATAAGGTCTTCAATCTTTACAACAGACGATTAAACAGCAATTTTATACAATAGAACAGCCTCAGGCTCTTCCTGTTGTTGCGTGAAAATTGAAATTCAAGGATTTATTTGATGTTAAATGAACCCTTTGGAAAAAAGCTATTTCAAAACCATTTCAAGCATAATTTTTCCTTTTCTCTTTGATTTATTTTTAGGATAAAATTATGGGAAAAGAAGAAAACAACCAAAAATTAGAAATTATAATAAAATTGATAAAAATGAATGTTCCATTTTTGATGATAAATGTTAATTATCATATATTTTTTAAATGATTAAATTTCTCTGCCATCATACTTCAAGCATTTCAAACAAACATCTTTTGTATGTATCTATTTTTATATGAAAAATATAAAAACAACAAATACAACCTTTATTTTTTATATGTCTTTTTTTTTCATATTCGGTACATAAGATTTCTTATTTATATAGTTAATAAATATGTGTAAATATAGTATATGAAAATTTGACATTAACACTTCAGATGAGAAAATATTTCCGAAAGGAATATGACTTTAATTGACAGTATTCTAATAGGGTTGGAAAGCCTAAGCTAGAAATATTCATTGAAAGTCAATCCTTTGCAAAATTGGTCAATTGAATATTTTATATTTCATCAGCCTATAATGCATTAAAGATATAACATATTGAGATTTAAAGCTTTATTTTACTATCAATTTTATATCAGTTGAATTTTAATAACCATAAACATATTCAATAAAACACTTCCAAACCTCTACTCATTTATGAAATAAGATATCAACAAAATAAACTTCCTTACCTGCTCTAATAGTTATAAAATTCCATATTATAAGAAAAAATCTCATATTTTAATATTGATTTCTTTTTAAAAGGTAACTCTGCATATAGGGTGAAAAAGTAATTTTTTTCCCACTATTAAATTAGATTAGGAAGAGGAGAGGAAAAAAGTGAGAGTTAAGATGAATAATGGTGGCAGAGCACTGAAGTAAACAGGAGTATGACAGAAGAAGAGATAGATTGAAAGAAAAAGAGGGGAGAGAGAGAGAGATAATATTTTTATTGAATAAGGAAAGTAACTGCTTTTATAATTGAGTGAATTGCATGGCAGTGTATGTCTTACATAATCTCAAGTGGTTATAAGCTTAATAGCAACAGATTATTGATTTATATTAAAAAAAAAATTTATACTGGATTACCTATAACGATTAAAGTTGATGAGCTTTACTAATACTATTGTAATTAACTAATAACATACAACTAATTAATTTATGGTTTAAATAAATGTCAAATTAATTTCTCAAATTATTATCATAGGCACGTTTCACGCCAAATAGCATTATTCAACATTCATAAAAAGAGTAGAACAACATGACATATCGTATAAATTTTTCTTAAGAATTATCTCTAATTGATGATTGATAAGATAATTTGTAGAATGTTATTTGAAATCTTATTTTTTCTTCGAATTTTGAACACTTCACTTCCTCAACAAGCAATGAGGAAAAATGCAGGAGCAATTTTTAGGCTAGATGACTTTACATAATAAGTGAAGACACCAATGATATTAATCAGCAAGAGACTTCTTTCTCAGCTAGAGATAGACCGTCAACCAGTACTCACCAAAATAGCTGGAACAAGACAGAAATTTTGAAATTTGATACTGAATCTACAAGCAACGAAGAAGCTGAAGGATGTTTCGACAAGTTACTATCACTATTAAAAGTTATAGTAGTTGCTTTTCTGATCTTATCCATTTCCGGCCGTCTTTTTATATCAAAGTCAATGTTGTTGTTTCCTACCTCTCAAATAAGAGAGTATTATTCCTCAAATCATGAAAACTCACCATCAGGTAATATTCTTTTAGACGTGAATGATAATAATCAATAAGATTTTACTATTATCAGGACGATATTTAATTTGAACAGAAATAAATACTTCCCTATTTAGCAATAATGATACATGTGTGGTTATGTTTGACGGAACAAATAAAACAGATCTTTTAAATACATGTTATAAGGATAAAGTGTTCATAGATTAACCATTGCAGTACGATATGAATATAAGCAATAAGCATTTATTCTACAGAATGTGTAAAAGTATTGTCATGTCTTGGATTCGATGTTTGGCTTTAATTATGATTACACCTGAAGTTTTCGCCCTCATCCGAAGTCTTTATTGCACAATTTTCATAGAGAGTCAATGGCCGAATTTATCAGTTTGCATAATCGTAAATATTAGTATATATTTTACATATTAAAAGATAATTTTATATTAACTTATTTCAATATTTAAAGACATGTATTGCGGAATTTATATCAGCCTGTGGCACAAGCATCTTGATTAGTAGTGGTCTAGCGTGTATCCATTCAGTTTACGGATTTGGTATCTTATTCCTTATTGAATTGTTTCCCTCGATTATAAAGTTTCTTACCACTCTTTACTTTGAAAGAAGGGACATATTGAAAAAAAAAGCGAATAATGTTGCCATGTGCTTTTTCATTAATTTTCCCATCGTGTAAGCATTAACGCCATTAATATGATAGTGAAAAGTACTTTTAATATTAATTTTATCATAAACTGTTAGGTTTGGGAGTTTTCTTTGGCGTTGTGTCTCGTTAAGCAAACATTAATAAATCAGCTTTAACTAATAGCAATCTCTTTATCTTCTTAATTGTTGGAGCAATTTGTGCTTCTTTCAGACACTGTATAAAATATATAAGCATGTTTACTTTAAAAATGGCCGACGATATTTCGGTATGGAAATATTCAGTAAAGAAAGTTTTCATTATTATCCAAAGTTAAATGTGATAATTAGCCTAATGCGAGGATTAATAATATTTTTTGTATTTCTTGTGCTACTTTACTCAAGATATTCTAAAAGAAATGACTTCAAAGACTTTTTCGCTATAAAAGTTGAAGGTAGAGTATATATTGAAATAATTTAATTAGTACTTAAAAATATAATAATACGTTTAATACAGATTGCGATGATGGAGAAGATATAGATCATTATACGAAAGATTGGATAAAATTTTATTTTATAATGGTCTATATACAATTGATAACATATATGTTGTCAAGAACGGCTTTGAAATTAAGATTAAATATCTTCTTATCTAAAGCTCTATTTATAAGTAATATAGTTTTATTAATTTTTTTTACATTTGGATGTAGAAGTCGAGTAAATTCACCTTGTTCTCCATTCTTTCAAAGTATTATTTTAATTTTAGTTGATTCTTTATTATAAATTCAATTCCTTTTTTTTAGAATTGATACCGTCATCTATTTTGGGATTGTTCAAATCAAAAGAGTTTGCATTCAGTTTTCTAGGCTTTTCATTGTTGACTTTAAGTATAAAATTCTTCATAAGTCTAACTATACTACCACAAAAACTGATAGCAAAAACAAGGAATATATTTTTTTACCTTTGTACGATGTATTTCTTAATTGTTGTATTACTGAGAATATCATTATTTATGAGGTGATTTTAGCATTTTAACATAATTTTCTTAAGTTTTATATATTTAACTTTACTTTAGGCTTCAAAAAAACATTTTGCAATGCCAAATCTATATCTTTGCGCCACAATGTTGTATGAAGAGGAATTTAAAATAATAACAATGTTGAATAATATTTTTAGAATGGATGAAGATAGAGAAGTTCAGAAACAGTTCCGTGATAATTGAGAATTTGCAAATAGAAAATACAAACTTGCAGGTGAGTTTCATAGATAAACATTTCAATGAATATAATACGTTTCTGTACAGCTAACATTTTGACAATGCGTTTGAGAATGTTGATGATAAAAACTACGGAGTAGAGAATCGAATAGTATATCACCAAAGGAACAATTAGACGAGCATCAAAAAGAATTAGAAAATATGTTTATCCTAGCCTTGGATGAAGATGTTGAATTTAAAGTAAAGTTTATTTGTATTTCAACAACTATTATAGAATAGTTTCTAATTAGCCAGAGGCTGTTCATAGACTTATTGAGGTCACTCAGCAAGATCCTTCAATCGGAGCAGCTTGTGGAAGAATACATCCTGTTAGTCAAGGTGAACTTTCATTTTCTCCAGACTTACATTTCCTCATCAGATGAACATTATTTTAGATAAACTTATCCTGGTAATGTGGTATCAAAAATTTGAATACGCCATTGAACATTGGCTACAAAAATCCACCGAACATATTTTCGGTTGTGTTTTGTGCGCGACAGGATGTTTTTCTTTGTTTAGAGCATCAGCGTTAGCGGACAAGTCTGGTATTATCCAAACTTACGCTCAAAAGTCTGATACACCCAACAAATAATACTGTTCATTTCTTCAATGTTTGGTCTAGCTGCTATTCTCTTGGTAATGATAGGTTCTGTCATCTTCGCCTCTCAAAAATTTAATTCAACGGCTATTCCTGCATGGGTTTCTATTTTAATTAATGTCATCCCAGTTATGATAATCGCACTTTCCTGCTTCTTTTCTGAAAATAAAAAGACAACGGTAAATAATAAGTGTTACGTTTATTTTATAAAATTTATCTAATCAACCGCATTATATGCAGCTTTTACTGGCTCGAGTTTTTACTGTATTGTATACTATAGTATAATGCTTGTAATTATTGCTATTTTTAAAGATATAATAACGGACTGGCAATCACCAACGTCCATGTTTTTTCTCTTTGTTACAGCGATATTTCTAATGGCAGCAATTCTACATCCACTGGAATCAATGAATGTTTTCTGTGGAGTGATATATTTCTTTTTGATTCCTTCTATGTATTTACTTTTACAAATCTATGCGTTTTCTAAAATGAATGACGTTGGGTGGGGTGTCAGAGAATCTACACAACTCTCAGATAAGAAAAAGTCAAATTTTGGGATAAGCTGATAAATATTAATTATTAAAAGAACAGCATATTTTATACTTGTATTTTAATATTTTCTTCTTTAAACATTTAAAGCAGAGTTGTTGTTCGTGCTGTACAAATAGAAAGAGTTCAACATCAAACGATTTTACTTTTTCCAGAAATGAAAATACCAATCAAGGTCATTTCTTTATTATGAGTATAAATTTATAATTCACACAAAAAAACGTAATTTTTTATAGCTCCTTCTGTTATAGACAACGAAAATATCTAAAACAGTCCATCACCAACATCAACGATAGTAGCAAGTATAAAAGGCTAATAATAAAAAAGAGGAATACAAAAATTCTAATCTCACAATCCTGATATAGTGAATTCAGCGGAAGGAGGGTATCCACAGGAGACTAACTTGGACAATGTTTATTTAGAACAACAAAATGTCTCTTTGTTTGATTTTACTGACGATCCCGATATAAAATGTTTTTCTAAGAAAATTCTGTCCTCACGCGACATTGTTTATTTTGAAAAGTTAATTAAATTTCATTTTAATCCTGAAAAAAGAGCTTAGCCTTGATAAAGAGAAGGAAATTGAAAATGGCGAGTATAGCCATAAATGAATAGGGTAGTTAATCTTTTATTTTTCATTATTAAAGGTTTAAGAAAGGAAAAAAATGAATTTTGTACGATGATGTTTCTCTCCAATTTACTTTTGATAACAGTTGTTTTAACTCTTCAAATGAATGAAAGGTGGAGAGTCACTTGACCACTGTCAAACAAAACTCCAAAAGAAAAGATTGATCCTATTGGAATTGTTTTCTTAGGTTTCTTTGTCTTTTTCTATTTTAGTACTACAAAGTATTGGTATGATATATCACCGTTTATCGACTCTAATTCTCGTATTAGCAACAAGTACATTGGATAAATCAATGGATTATGAAGAAAAAATAAAGTATGTAAGATTAATGAAAAATGTGATAAGGTGATTGAAAACTTTTTTTAATAAGTCAAGTTAAGAGATATCCTTACAGGAGAGCAACAAAGAAAGTAGTTCTAGACAGAAGAATATCCAAAACGAACACGCCCGGAGAAATAACAAGCGATTCAAAACAAGATAGAACGAAGAGACTTGAAGAAGTCGTACGATCGAACCTTCGACAAGAAATAAACAAAGGGAAAAGTTTGTTTATTATTATTATTAGAAGTATAATTTTATCCAAACAGTCCGTAGAAAGTGCGAATTGATAGCTGGAATCATTTAGCATCATTATTTATAATAGATATTCGTGTAAGAGTAAATATAATCTCTTTGTTTCAGAAAAAGAACGATTAAGGCGTGGGGATAGTGTTGGAAGAAGAAGAAAGTCATACTTTCACGTAACTGTTCAGAATATTATTATATAATTCAAATTATTATTAATATTTTTCCATTCACTTTTAGGGAAGAGAGACTGAGTCTTAGAAGATCTACAACTATGTACTTGTTTCATTTTTAAATTAAAATAACTGATTTATTTCAAATTGATTTTCTATTCATTTGATAACTTATTCTGTACAAATAAATTATTTGTATTTGTAATATTATGTCACTATTCATCTTACCCTTTTTTATCATTCATCATGCGAATACTATATACATATATACATACATATTTACGTGATATATATTTATAGATTATTATGTTTTATTTCCATTTGATCGAAATGTAAGCCGATACGAAATCCAACTGCATGTTTTTTAAGGAGGGTAAAAATGAGGTTTCTTTTATTTCCCACGAGGTATAAACTAGAAGAGAGGTAAAGAGGAAGTCAAAATACAATTTACTTCCTGCATGATATTATAACAAAGACCACGCCTTCAAGAAAAGATAAAAACACTTTCAGGAATAAATTTTAAAACTGTTTCTAAAATGAGACTCTTATCTCATAAAGCCTATTTGCAGGTTTAATTAATTAAAGTACGAAAATTTTTTTAAAATAACATATCTTTAAGTTTAGTGAATATTTCGTTAGAATTCCTTTTCAACCTACTTTTTAGTGACATTGATATTGATCAGTATTTACATGATTCATAGAGTACGCATTATATTTTTAGCTTTTGTTCCAAAGTTAATTAATTACGTATAGAGATATTCGAAAAGCTTCTAATTGTTATTCATCCTATAAATTATTATTGATTGTGATAATATAATACTGTATTATGTTATTGTATTGTATATTATTAGTTAATTGATGTCAAGCGTATTTTTTTAATTACTATAAATTCTCATAATGTAAACGCTTTATTCATTCTTACAAGTTCAAAGTAATTTTCTTTAATATATCCAGGAATATTAATTATCGATGATGTTCTTGTAACTTATCAGTGTCAAGATATACGGTTATGCGCAAATTATCATATCAATGATTGAATATTGTATAATTATTTTGTCTTAAAAATTAGGATCCTTGATTATCTTTAAATAATTTTCTATGTCCCTCTTTAATAACTAAAATAGAGAACAGAATAAAACGCTGTTTATCTGCTTTATCTTATTATTTAATGGTAAGAGAAGCTGACTAATCGACCGTTAATGAATCCGGTAAAAGTTAGGGAAGCGAATAAAATTCACATGACTGAATTAAGAAACTGAATAAATTTGATTCTTTTGTCAAAGGAAAAGCATTTGGTACTTTTCATTAGAATATCCTGGTATTGTTATTGTATATATACTGTATACATGTATTAATTAGTAATCCATATTGCTATTTTAGGTAATCTATGTGAGGATAAATAGTTAAAAAATTTATCCTCTTTGGACAGATGTAAATTGAATTATAATTTCGCTAATAAACCCTTGTGACGTTTGCAAGAGAAAATTTCTTCACTTATAATGGATGTATATTCTCTATAGTATTTATTAAAAAGTTATAACTCAACGAATCAGGTGCTTCTTTCCAACAGCAAAATCTTTCATATTTATATATAAAGCGACCATATATCTAATTTTATTTTAGATTTTAGCTAAACCTTGGAAGTAGACTTCTCTTCTTTTACCTTTAATTCCTTATTCCCTTTTGTTTTTGTTTCCATGTTCGTTTAGTTAGGAAATCAATGAAAATAAAGTAATTTGTGTAAATAATTACTACATCTTTTTGTAAAGTATACGTATTTTTCATATTGTTTTTCTGCGCCTTTGTCTGTTTTGTAGGAGACAAGGAAAAAACGCTTATGATAATATTTTTTAGTAATACAGACACTTCTGAGACAGAGAGATGAATCTGAGTGGAATAACAATAGGATACAATCAATTTCATCAAGACGTATAAAAAGAGAGGAGGAAATCATTCAAATTTATAATCAATACGAGCTAAACAGAAAGAATATACGAATGGAAGCAGAACTCAGGTCTTTTCTATAAAAGGTTTATTGTCAACCAGTTTATCTTTATTTTCCATAATTTAATTGAATTGATCTCACAAAAGAAATAAGAATCAACATACAGAGATTCCAATACAGTATAATTTACTTAAGATCTCTTTTGTAAAGGTGAAAGGGGGAAGGAAGGAAAGAAAAGGTGATATTTTCTTTATTCACTGGCAGCAAAGTGTTATATATGCTCTTACTGTAAGACGATATGTTTTGCAGCTTTTCACTGTCGTGGCTTCTTTCTCCTGTTTGAAATTTTAGAAGAACACGGTAGGGAAATAGAATAGAGTTGTCTCCTCTTTAGTATTTTATTTAAGATGATACAATCTATATTTAGATATGTCTATACTAATTATATCATACGTAATGCTGTAAGAATAGTTCATAAAACAATTATGTCAAATAAACGATAAATGGTAGCCATAAGTATTTGATACGGTATCTTAACTTTCTTATACTACTCAGTCTTTATACACCTTAAGATATCGTAGCTCTTCCGACAGATGGCAGCAGAGTCTTTTCTAATTTATACGGGAAACATTAGAATAGTGGATTTTTACTCTAATGATGACACAGCTAGGGCCATCTGCCCTAAATATTTTATACATTCCAGGAACGCTAGCACTTAATCTTGCCCTAATTATTTCAATAGTCTGGGTATTTTCACCTCTAATTTAAGCATTAACAGTACAAGATTAGACGATTCGTATCCTTTCTTTGTTAAGACTTTTTTATTTAGAACTTTCATTTTAGAGACAAGAAAAGCGACAAAGTGCATATAAAGTAGAGAGAATGAAAAAAATCGATGGAGCTTGCAGTATACAAAGTTCTAATAAGGAGAAAAGAGGAAAACGTGACTCCATATCGTCAATTCAGATATACATATATATTTTCTTTAGATAATATACTATCTATTTTCCAAAAATCTGATGATGCATTAGGGAAAATCCCGGTGCTGACCGTATACAGCAACCTTTGGCTATGATCTATCGATTGTTAGGGGTCACGTATGGGTCATACGCGATGTACAATTTTACCCGATTGCAGACTTTGCAGTTGCGTTGTATAGGAACTAAACGAGTTTGCTTTTCGTGACTGTTTCTTTTGTAGATGAAATAAGCTAAAATTATTTACATAGTGTGTTTTTTAAGCCCTGAATAAATAATGGATAGGGTTTGAGACGGTTTATAAATGGGTCCATTAGCAACGAGATAATATAGTTAGCTAGGCGTCCTAAAGTAAAAATTGATTACATTTTTGCGTTTACTTTTTTCAATGCCAAATGGTCAAAAAAATTTCTGTAACATATCAATCAAAAAGAGTAAACTTTTAGCATAAATATACTGAAGAGAAGATATATATATACTAATGAATACTCTATATTGGAGATTGTAAAAAGATGAAAAAATAATAATAAAGTCTGACGAATTCTATTCTGAACCGGTAGAAGTAAAAACATGTCCCTTCATATATATATATATATATATATATATATATATATATATGTACTGTACATGTTATTTCTGTCACTACCATTTGACATATATGTTGATTTTCTTTTTAAAGAAAACGAGAGAAAAAAGATTATACTGTTCTAACATTTTCAACTTTTTTTTTCTTTTAATAACCTTCCTTTGTTATTCATAATTACAAATTACAACAACATTCAAAGCAGCTACAGACATAGCTTATAATAAATAAAAAAAATGTATATTATATATGTATACTTTTTATTTGTTTGTTTGTTTGTTTTTGTTTTTTAAATAAAAAAGAAAAACAAAAAATTCAATTTTTTTTTTGTTTTTGTTCAATTTCCAAATTTTTCTGTTTTGCTTGCTTAATAATTTTTGTAACATTCATATCATTATCAACATATTTCATAGTAGATTTCTTTTAGCGAGGTGAATATGCCAAAAAGGAAATATTAATATTCCAAAAGAAAATAAAAAGCATAGTTATCTTTCCTTAGTGTATATAAAAGCAATATTACATATATATATAGATATATATATATACAGTATATATATATATATATACATATATAAAGACTATGAATAAAAATTCTTCGACATTTGTATTTAAATTTCGACTGTCACCGGATTCAAGGCTTGATTTTTATCTAGGGCGGTTGCTAAGCGAAAATATTTACATAAAAAGGAATTTTTGCATGGCTGTTCGGAATGTAGACACTTATTTTTTCTCCTCTTTTTTAAGGTATCAATACTTTTGATGTTTCTTTAACTCTTTAAGTTTTTCTTTCAACGCTACATTGTAGAATCTTTTTTTTTTCATACATATACATAGTTTCACATGCACAATCGTTGAAACTTCTATATGGAAGTTTGTTTCCTATATCCTTTGTTCTTTCAGTAATAACTTTCTAAAAAGAAAGATATTGATTGACAAGATCTAGAGAAAAAATATTTCATATGTCTGGATTCAAATCGAATTTCTTATTATTCTACATTCCCAATGGAAAATACATACATATAAAGAGAAAAAAAGTCAATCAAAATGAAAAAATAGAAGGTTTTCTATAAAATCCTTCAATTCCTTTCCTTTCTCATTTGTTTTTACAAAATTACTTTCATAAATAAATAACTGAAATAACGACAGATGCATAAAAATATACAATGGAAAAACAGTAAATAAGATAGAAAAATATTCCAAATTCCTTTGTTCCTTCTCCTCTTTCCTATTATCTTTCTTATCAAAAAAAATAAGCTATGAAAAAAGTATTTTAGTATTATTTCAGGAAAAGCTATATACAAAAACTCATTCTTAAAGTAGAAGAAAGAAATTGACATATACTCTTTTCAATAGGAAAGAAAAGGGTAAAAAATATTCGATTTTTTCTTCTCTCTCTCTCTCCGTGTCTAAATATATAATAAAGGAGAAAAAGAGAGAAATTAATTCCAGGAAGGGAATTAAATTAATAAAAAGAAAGAAGTAGAGCTAAATTAAGTTGAATGCTTTGTTTGTCTTCGCCCAAAATTTTTTTTTCTTTTCTTTCTTTTCTATTTTTTTAAATAGTTGTCTTGCTTTTTTATGCCATTCTGAAGAAATTTCATCCTTAATACTCGTATTTTCTATCATATTTGTTTAAGAATTTTCATATCAAAAAGAGAATAAAAAAAAAGTATGCATATTCTTTTTCCTCATACGCTCCTCTCTATCTCTCATTCTCTTATGTATACATATACATATATAAATAAATGAGTATGAACAAGTGAATATGCAATACATATACATATATATCTATATATAGATATATATATATTCATGAATATTCATATTCCATTTTTTTCCCATTTACATATTGCATATTAATAAATTTAAAAAAAGAAAAAAAACTGACCATCTAAACTTTCACAAAGTTTAATTTAGCTTAGTATCAAGGTAAAGAACAATCTCAGGGAGAAATAAATTACAAGGCCCTAGCAACAACCCGAGCAAAGCTTCACGATTAATACCTGAATTTTACAAGATCAAGAATAAATAAAATAATACAATCGTATATGTATGTAGGTATTACACATACGGATGTAAAGTGTCTATATACTTACATATATGTATAGGTATATATATATACACAAATGCTAAATATATACATATACATATATAAAAATATATATGCATAAACTATCTAGATATAGCTTATATACATATATGAATGAGCATAAAGTAAAAAGTTTTTGTATGTATATTAGTTGAATTCTTTCAGAACTGAGATAATTTTGATTTCTTTTTTTCTTTTAAGGGGAATTAAAAAAAAAATCCGGTGACGGCCTCGTTTCAAAAAAGTAAAAAAGAAAAGATTAATGAAATATTTTAAGCAACTTAAATAGAATAATCATCGGGAGAAGCCTTGAGCGGAACATTTTCGTCATATTTTGGAGCTGTTGGAACAGGAATTTCCATTTCATCCATATCTTGTTTCATAGGCGTTCTATCCTCTTCACTACCGTCTTCGATATCCGATGCTCCGCATAGTGTTAGACGAGTCGCTTCTCTAACGTCATCGTACAAGAAGAACATCAGAGGAGCGAGTAGGTTGAAAACTCTCGTCAGGACCGCTGCCACCAAAACGGTTTCCTTATGAAATATTAGTGTTACAACGTAATGGGGAGCTATGAAGATGATGTAAAATAGATTGAGGAGAGCGGTAACTAGTAGAGTACACTTGAGCTTAGCCCTTTTTGTACAAAGTACGATAGAACCGGCTAAGAAACAGATTAGAGGCGGCAATAATCTAATTCCACCCGTTATTATCCAATAGATCCAACTGTAGACTACTCTACAGTCAGTAAATCCACTTTTTCTCCATGTACTCTCGACCAACTTGGGCAAGACATTGACCACTTCTGGCAAGTAGAATATACCAGCAGCCGAAAGAAACGGCCATAGCCAGCAAAACAGCACAAAACATATAGATGCGCAATAGCCTGTTCTACCACCACATCCAACCCTTAGCCTCTCAAAAGATGCAGCTAACAGGGCGAAAGGGAGTGTCATGTCAACGGCTTCCGATATGGCTATCCAAAGAGGGCATTCGACTTTATATTCAAATTTATAGCAGAAGTGACCAAATGAACACTTTTGCTTTGGAGCGCCCTGAAGAGTAAGAATTAGGTTTATAATGTTACTTCTCTGAGGGCATTGTTCTCGGTCAAAGTCGTCACAGCTACGGAAACCTTTAAATGTGTTAATAAATTCCAATATGGAACCTCGAGCTATAATTGAGACACACATGCTGCTAACAATTACCCCCAGACTGGTACAACGATGTTTCTTTGATCCATTTACTGCTACTAGAATCAGAACGCAGACGACGCAAGCAGCCGAAGCCAAAACTATACGAAGTATAGAACCCAGATGGTCTGAAGCCGAATCGGGCCAATTCCATGGTTGAATGCTATTTGGTAGAAATATCATTCATTATTAACTACAAATTAAATGTAATTTTCTACTCTAATTAAAATATTTAACCTATTAATTTAACAAAAATAACGAGTAGAAGGTTCTGAGAGTAATATACACAAAAAGAATATTCTTTTCCTCAGCAAAGCCTCATTAAGCATGCAAAAACTAGAAATAGAACCGTAATAAATGTGCATAAGCTGACTTTCGGGCCTTTAGAGATTCTCCTATCAATAGCCGCACACAAAAAAAACCTCTCTTTGTTATATATATATATTGTTTGTTTTACTGATTTCTATTGTACTTTTATTATTTATTTTTTTTCCTGATTCTTGTCCACTATTCCTATAAATCTCATTAAAAATCTATGCTTGAGTTAGTATTCAATCATGCAGGCGTCTAACGTCTAAAAAAATTTGGTAACGTTTTTAATGCATTTACTCAGAACGGTGATGCAAACCGAATAGTTTTTTCGCTACTACTCTAATAATAAGAAGCGTCAGTGCGTCTCCTTTGGGAAATTCCCATTTGGGTTATTACAAACGTAGAGAAAATTCCAATATTATCGATCCGTTTTTTTAAAGCCCGGGTTAGTTAAGCTCTTTCTTTGGAAATATTACGCAAGAGAACCTAATTAAGTTGGCATATGGCATCAAACATGCAAACGGATGGTAAAAAATCCTTTCTACGGATATCAAATAAGAAATGACGCAATGGTTTCCACCCAGGAGAGTAATAAAGAACAGAACTTACTTTATATGAATTTATAACAGTACTGTTTGAAATAACGAATTAATCGTGCTCCGAATAGACTAATAGTCAACTTTGAATAAGGCTGAAAGCGTCTTTCGATTTGTCTAAATGTTTTAGGACCGTAGATAATTGAATTACAGCGAAAGAAGACACTTGATGCGAATCGTTTTGGAGTTTCTCAGCATACTTAAACAAAATGAACAAGAATAATTGCTTATAGGAGCAAGAGACATACATATGGAAATTGCGTTAAAAAAAGATCTATCAGATATCTCGATGCGATACTAAAGAGCTTACTTATTAAGTTTTAGGACCTATAGAAAACACTGCTACATTGTTACCAGCTGTTTAACAGTTTTAGAAGAAGCTTATTTCTCTATTATTAGCATCCTTTCATTCTGTATGAAGTTCTATTGTAGGAAAATATTATTAAGAAACTACCCCCTACATCTTACCAACCTCTCAAACTTATCTCCTTTTCTTCTAAAATCTTGGTCTAAAAATGTATCCTATAAAATTGGCCGTTGAAGGCATGCATCATTAACTTCAAAAGAGTCTACCACTAACCGAATATCTATAAATTGGCCGTTTTAGTCAACCAACTTTCGCTACGAGATATTCGATTCCAAGTCTATTCCTTACGATCAAATATTAAACGCTATCCGTTTTCCACACCATACTTTTCTGCAAGCTATATATTGCCTATTTATCTATCTTTATGCTGCTTTTTTTTATGCAAGAGAAATAAGAGCTTTTAGATGTAGACTAGTCAAGTAATGATCCGTAATTAAAAGAGGAATTTTTTCCCAGTATATAAGAATTAACATCTGTCTTCTTCCACGAAATTTTTCTAACAACAGCTCACTGAAATGCGTTGCTATGTTAATAAATAATCCATTTTTATATATTCATAAGAAGTTTGTAGAACATATTTTTAAATTGGATGTTGATAGCCTAGCATTTATCACAAAATAATTTTCATCATGTCATCAAATTGCTTTATATCATCAGTTTGTGTTAGTCCAAATCGATTTGTTAGTATTATGATAAATTCCTCTCTTGAAACGTCACTTCCAGGCACCTACACGCTTTTTTTTTATTAATAAACCAGACAGAGGGAGAGAGAAAAAGAGCAAAATTTTTTCCCCCTTATTTTACTCCATTCTGTCTATCTTCCCCTTCTCCTTAACTAGTTTTAAGTAATCTCTTTTATCCAAAAAAAATAATCAATGTATACAAGAATATTGCATTTTATATTTGTCTATGGTCGATTCGTAGTAAATTCTCTCCATTCTATCCAAGTAGGGAATGAAAATGATAATTTAATAACTAGAAGACGCGACAATTCTGGTTTTTTTATTAGATTATCGGATAATTGTCGTTCTATAACCACCAATTTTCAGTCCAGATGCATTCGTACGGGTGTCTTTCATCTTCTTGAGTATTTTTAAAATCTGGATATTTTCAAGCAGTTTCTTGTTGAAAGAAGAAATTAAATAAACTTTTAACAACTCAAAATTCTTTAAATTTTCTCATGGCAGTTTATCTTTCCTCATTTTATGATCAATTTCATGTAATTTTATAACTACTTTAATCGCAATAAACCAATATTTATATTATTTAAAACTGTCTTATAATTTCTCTATTTATTACACTGCACTTAGGGTATTCCTGTCAATTTTTTCATACGAATGATAATAATAAATCAGTAGGCAAATATGATTTATGTTTACGTTTGAGCTTATCTTATCTCGAAGAGAAAGTGACATTTTAGTCCTTAGAAAGCCGAAAGATATGGATGGGGAAAGAAGACATAATGAAAGCGTTTCGGATATTTAGGCGGCTGATAAGGTGGTGTTTTTTCTATTTATAGTTCGTCCTTTCAAGTGATGAGAATATCGATTTTCCGAAGAAAAAAAGAAGAGTTCTACTAACCCCGTAAAAACGCGAGTTTGATAGAAGCATATACACTGCACACGTCTAATATATGTATAAATATATATTTTTATATATAGATATGTACGCAGCGACTACTAGCATTTACCTCCCTCCCCCCCACACATTTACAGTATATACACTTACTTACATGTACGCAGTATTCGTATGTTCGTTTATGTTTGTACGAATGGTACATATAACGTATATGGATCGAATTGTACGTAAAAATCAATCGGTACGTTTTATATGCTCTAATACTGCTGCATAGTTCCTGACTCCTAACAAAGAGATTTATAGAAAATAAGGGTAAAAATCGTGCCTCAAATACTTCTTAGGGAATAGGGAGTGGACATTGGCAAAATAAAGGAATTAAGAGTTGTAAATAAACGGAAGAAAGAGTAGTAGAGGAAATAAATATAAAAAACATATAGACACACATATACTAGCACAAACAACGGGTAACGTTTGAGAGACGGTGCTGAGGAAATCTTTCCTACTTAACATGCAGTCGTAAAAGCAATGGGTAAAAAGCATACATATTTCATCAATTTTTATATATGCTAACCTGAAATCTTCAGCTAATTTATTATATAGTAAATTTCCTCTGTTCATACTGTAAAATGAAGACGTAATCGCTTCGGTTGCCTCCGTCATTGTTGATGTTTCAGAGAATTCGCTCTCAACGCTTTTACTATCATTCTTGAGGTAAACTGAACCAACCATATTTAATATCAGTATCCATAAAACGCCGATGCAAAACGTATAAAAGCAGGTGTTTGTTGCTGAAAAACGCTGGAACAAGGCCTAGACAGACAGACGCCGTGCAGAAATTATGTTGATTGGACGATTCTTGCCGACGCTAGGTGGCGCTTAATCGATTACGTCAGCTACCTCAGCTTTTCTAGGCAGCTTGCTTGTATTAGGGTATTTAACAGAGAATAACGTGGGTGAATGAAAATTTAATAAATTTGCTAAAAGGAAATAAAGATAGAATTGTAAAACTTTACAGCCTATTTTCATTAGAAAACGAATAAACTACCGCATTCTTTATTCCCTTCCCTTACACCCTTCCACCCCCCTCTTTTTTTTTCGGCTGTTAAAGGAAAAAAATTTCCCTTCTTTATATTCCCATATAAGGCAGATTTGACCTTTTGACTCCTCGCTACACCGAAACCAGTGCATAGAGTATGCATCCTTGTTTTTTAGTATTATATAGTATTGTTCATTTGCGCACATTAACGATGCTTTTCATTTACACAAACAAGATTAATCGCATTCAAGCGTAGATAGAATCTACGAATAAAACATCTAATTATATATGCAATTATTAATGCAGATTCGAATACATTATGCAATATAAGATATTTACATTAATCATACAAGTATATAGTTTTACGCTGTTTCTATTGTCGAGAGCATTAAGAAAATTTATTATATTGTCTAATACAATGTCAACTGATATATGAATTACACGTTTTTGTTGTTCAATATACTAGACGCTCCTCCTGTTAGCCTCTTCTACAAGCCAAATCAGCGTTTTACAGTCCTTGATTAATCGATAAGAATACCAAAATATTTAGCCCAAAAGCGCTATCTAATTTCCTGTAGAATTGACAAAAAATCTTTCTAATACTGTAAAATATATAGAATATTTAAGTTCCAGGAAACAAAGAGAGACTCGTATTTTATTTCCTATTTTCTTAAAATTAACAATATATTGAAAAAAGGTCACACGATTTAGATGAGGAAATTCTTTTCTTTCCCATTCTCTATCTATTTATCTTTTATATTTCAGATGTTTTCTTTCTCCCTCCCTTCCCCCTCCCACCCCCCCTTTTTTTAACTAATTAAGAAGCAGAGGTTATAGAGAATTTTTTAATTTTTTCCTTAATCATCTTTGTAAGAGATGTCATAAAGAGCCCGTATACTAATAATATATTGTAGCAAACCTTACCCATTTAAATATATGTATTATGTGTAATGAATGCGTACAAAAAAGCAGATTGTAACGCCATCTATGTGTTGCTCTTTTACAATATACATCATGCTGTTAAAATGATATTAACGATTTTTTAATTCCAATTTCTTTTTATCGAAACAACGGACTAAATCCGGTTAAGATAATTAATTGTCTCTATTACAACGTAGCCACCTGTTAAAACGAAAAGAGAGCTATATTCACTAATTAAAATTGATAAATGTCTATACTTGCCATATATACAGTATATGTGCTGTATATACAGTATATATATAGGTTTAATGCATTAATATTAGTATAAAACTGCTTTATTACGTTATGAACGTAAATCTTATTTAGTTTCCACTTATATTTTATATTGTAAAAAGCAAGCTAATGAAAAGATAATGAGAATATCTGAATCTTTTTCTGAACTAAACACAAGCTAAAAAGAATTTATTGAAAGTGGAGAAAAGAGCCTCATATATATTCATAGAGAAGGGCTAAAATGGAAAAATCGTAATATTTGACAGATTAATGGATCTTAAAGCTGACGAATGAGTAGCATTCTCTCTCTAATTCTCATTTCTTTTATAGTCTACTAATTTTCTTATCTGAATTTGTTATTTTTCTTTTGATTAAACTATACTCTATGAGAATATACTGTATATTCGTTTCTTTCCCATTATTCAGATTACAGAGGAGATCATTAGATCATTGGTACTATTTAGGCTTAATTAGGTTGATATAATTGAATCATTGTTTTAATTAAATACACCTGTTACTATTCGGTTATTACACGTTGTACTCAACTAACGAAATAGAGCATTCTATTTCAATTTATGCATTCTATGGTATATGTAACATGTTATGTTCTATCAAATAGATTCTATCTTTAAAAGAATTACTGTTTATTATATTACACCTAAGTATAGGCTTAACAAAAATGCTATCTATAGAATAATTAAAATACATAAGCTTTTTCATTTATGATAGTTTTGAGCCATATGCCATAATCCATATGAGAAGGAATGAGCCAATATCGAACGTTTCATCATCATATGGGTCTTCATCTCTCGCTAAAATTTTCGGTATTTCCTCCGACCAAAATCTCACAATATCCTTCTTAAAAACTGGTCTTAGGATGCTGGAATCATCTTGGAAGATTTTAACATTCATTTTGTTCATATTGACGTATGGATTCCAGTTAGATGGCCGCCTATATATGAATATATAATTATTTATTATTGCTATTTATAGTGTAGGAGTTATTAATTACAAACTAACGGATTTATAATAAAATCCCCAAAGGTTTTCATAAGAGTCATACTGATTTTTCTATCGGATTCTTGCCAATTCAGTGGGTATCTTTTTGTAAAAGGATCGCCAAAAACGTAGGCAACTTCGTTACCATGAGGCATTTTTACCCATTCCGGTCCAGTGAGGAAAGAGGGTCGATAATGAATTTCATATATGTACACATTACTACTCTTCGCATGAAGTTCGACTTGTTGCATAATCGGAGTCATAGAAAGTACATCGGATTCAATCTGACTAACTAATTTTAACAATTTGTCTGAACTTTTATCCGTTGTCTTATAAAACTCTTTCACTTTATCAATAATTTCGAATCCAGTTGCTTCTCCTGCATATTTATAGGCTTTCATCCTTAGCATTTTTTCCAGTAAAAGATCATAATGCTCTTCATCTTTAACTGTAAAGTCTGTATGTTTGGTCAAGTATTGATGAACAAACGTGTACCCTTCATCGCTTGATATGCCTATAATTAATGGAACCTTATTGTGTTCGTTATTTTTGTAAACTTCAATTGGACATTTTTCTATGAAATACCCATCTAGAACAGGCGCTAACATTATATTCGGGTGAAGAAAGTCACATAGCTTCTCAGCTTCTATACTGCATAGATACTTTTTAAATTCTTCTCCTTTTCTACTGCCTTTATAGCCGTGATATTTTGCAGATTCATAGAATAGTTCAGAATTGAATTTTAGTGTTTCAGGTTTTGATGTTTGACCTTCATTAAAATTTATTTAAAATAAAGAAAGAGTCATGTTAATTGAAATTTATATATCATTCTAAATTATTTATTACCTAAGATATTACCACTTTCGCAGATTGCCTTGTGAAAAAGGCCTTGCGACTTTTTGGAGACTATATGAGCCGATACCATTATCCCTCCTTTTAATGTAAGATATTAACAGTACCAGTTAATTAAGTTTATCTTTATCTTGTTTAATTCTAACCTGAGCTAGAACCTTGAAGAGTGACATTGTTTTTGTCACCGCCGAAATGATGAATATACTTTTGAACCCATTTCAATGCACAAATCTGATCGAGAAACGCGTAATTTCCTTCTAAAACTCTATCTTCCGACGAAGCCCATCCTTAAATATTTTATGAAAATTTAATTAATTATTGACAGAATCCTTAGGAAAGATTTTGAAAAACTACCGAATATTCCCAGTCTGTAGGACACAGTAACTAGAATTACCCTGTTAACAGCACAAAAAGTCTCTCCTGTGTAAACATTAGCCGAGCCATGCTTAAAATTAGCACAACATAAGAAGACGACGACTGGTAGGTTATCTTCCTTTCTAACTTTTGTAGGTCTCCATATATTTATGAATAAACAGTCTTCGCTAGCGTCGGCTTCGGTGTCAGGTAGAGGCAAAGGTAAAAAATTTTGCCGAAAGACCTTGAATTTTTGAGGGCAGACCTTTCCTTTTTTTTAAAAAAGATTTCTCTTAAAAAATCATTCTTGGCTAAATGTAGATTTTTATATAACATGATTTCTATAAATAATAGGAAATGGGTTACCTTTTACTGTACCATTTAGCTTTCCTGTCCAAAGTTCAGTCATATCAGGCCTTTCAAATCTTTTAGCTGTACCATATCTTATTCCCAGGAAACACTCAACACTCTTCTTCAAATCCTTATTGAACACCTTTCCTCCTTCTATTGAGCAATTTTCATTAATTTCTACTAAGGGAGCAGGCATCTTTTCTTCTAGTTTGTCTACAAGATAATTTTTTAACTTGAATATATAAATATATTATATGACTTGATAATAAGTTTGCTATTTTTTATATGATTGAATGATAGTTTTTATTGCTGCATCAAGCTTAAATATCCTGAGTTATACGGGCTATAATAGTTCAATCAGTACAAACTAATTCAGCTGTTAACAATGATGATTTTAACTTTTAAATGATCTATTTTCATAAGTTTCATTTATTGAATTCTATATCTTTTGATGCAATCAACTACAATAGTTTCTATTTTACGCATTCAATATGATACCGTATTTGCAAGTATGCTTCATATACTTTATTGCAATTAGTGATTGAATATGTGAATTATTTACGCTAATTAAAATATTATTGAAGCTTTTGTAAAATTTATGTATTATATATAACAATGTAACTATTTCTAATACTAGTTATTCTGTTAGCTTTAAAAGCCTTTTATTGTATATTTAATTGAGAGAATAAGGTATTATTATACTGTAAGGATTAATGAAATAGAGAATAAGCTGTATTTTTTATTAATAAAAGTATGTTTATTAGTTCTGTTCTCTTCATCTCTGTAGTCCTCATGCTACCCTTATATATATATATATATAACATTCTGTATTTAAATGATCTTTCCCTCAAGGGAATTAGGCTTAAAATGATATTTCACGTTGATAATGTGTTGTTGAAAGTTTCTCAAGAAGACTTTAAATTAAAGATGGTTCTTAACCTATTTTTATACTCTCATAATTTTATGATAAAGGTTAATCATAATATACCAAATTTATAAGGAACAGCAATTTCCTACCGAAGGAATAAAAGCGATCTTCTGTATCGAACCTTGGTTACTAGTAATAATAGCTAGCATTATCCGAAAGATTTAGCTGTAGTTTGCAATTTCTTCACCTATCTTTGAAGTTGGTCTGCGAGCCATAAAAGTTAAATATATATACAGCTAAATAAGATTGAATAGAATGTAATCCCTGATCATAATAGATATCCCTTGGGAAAATATCTCATTTCTTTTGTAATTAAAAAAATTCTAGAGTAAAAAAATTGTCTTTATTAGCTTATCAATGTCCAGAAGACGTCTGCAGGGAATATAAACAGACACTGGTTCTTCTTGTAATTAATCAAAAGTTTAACCGATTAACCTATTTACTTATCTATCAAATACAGTAATGTACTTGCTACTAAACCTTTTCCTATAAGATTGTATGGCCGATAAAGTATCAAGATTTCATGATGATATTCCTTTGCTTATCAGGATGAAATTCAACTGCAATAACCGCAAACATACATGCACACGTGCATACATATCTATATAATTTATAGAGTATATACATACATACATACACACATATACACTCCTACCTGCCTATCTCCCTCACCCATAAATCTTCGTATGGGAATTTTCATTCACTAAATTTATTATTGTTTACAATCGTATAAAAAGCTAAATAGCATAGCAAAAAGTTTTGTTTGAAATAATTGTCTAATTCAAATATAACGCTAGTTTATTATACAGCAAACGACTTTGAATAAAGAAAAATAATGAAATTTCTCTGTTGAAATAATGTAGAAAACTATAGAATCATTTTCTCTTTTTTTTTACTACAAGAAAGGTCGTTCCCTGAACAACTTCAAGTGATTTTGCGTGACACAATTTGGAATTTCGTCTAATTTGAAATGTCATATAAGCAATAAAGAGAATAATAGAAGATTTCTTTTACTTTTATAGAAAGCCTATTATTTCTTTAATTAAGTATAATTTCAATAATACATTTCTATAAAAGTAAACGTTCTATATTAGGATATAAACCATTCCCACCAAATTAAACGAACTTATTCAAGGCAGCATATCATGTAATTGATTTATCTCATTTGCATAATATTTATAAGTAATTGAAATTTGGTAAACTTTTCACCTTATCTCTAAACTCTATGTTAATTCACAAAAATAACTAATAAACCTAAATAAAGTTCTAGAGTAAACTGCAATAATAAAAAACAATTTTTAATACGATAGATGGCGTTGCTTATAGTCGTTGAAAGATGTATTATAAATATAAAGAATTAGGTTAAAGAAGAATATAATGAATGGAAGAGGAAAGGTTCCTTTAAACATTTATCAAAGATTTTCTTACATTGTAGTTATTATCTACAATTCAACATCCTATCATTTATATAATATAAAAACTAATTTTTCATCATCAATTAATGAATAAACTGTCTATTTTTTTTAATATTTCCATACAAATGCTGTTCTGAAGATTATATACATTGTATATACTGTATGTATAGTATAACCTATAAACTCAGTATATAAATAGAATCTACTTTGAACTAGAGGACCGCTTGGACCATAGAGAAAAAACAATGCGTCCCCTGAAGCATTTCACTTTTAATATCATTCATATTTACATTACAATTTGTAATAAAATATCTTAAGGGCGATTTTACTGTCAAAAGTAAATGTTACAATTTCACTTAACTCATACTTCTGACTCTAGTTTATTCCTCCCCGCAATGAAATCAACTATACATTCCGTTCACAACTCTTTCCATCTATATACAAATATATAGGCTGTATATAGAATAATATAGATCAAAAGGAAAAAGCTTGTTAGATTGGCTATTTTTATAATAAAATGAAAAATACTGTCGAATTTCTATTTATGTTATTCTAAAATATTTATTATAAGGTACAGAAAGAAGAAAATACTATCTAATTATTAAGAGTATAAAATGGAAGATAATAAAATTAAGATAAATAACTTAGTAATTAGTTAAAACACAATTTATATTAGTTGTAATTAAGATATATGAATAATTAAGAAAATTTCTTTATATTCACTTTATGGTTAAAAAAAATAATAAAATATATTAGTTTTTATCTTTCTTTTCGAAGGAATAGAATTCTTTCTCCTTCAATGAAAGCGACGAAGCATTGTTATTACTTCAAAAGTTTCTTCATTAGTGATTGCTACTGTAACGATCCCAATTGAAATAAATTCTGTACTTTCTTCGAATTTTATTAAACTAAGGAAAATTGATGATAAATCACCTAGAACTTTAGATAGATGATTTTATATAAAATGTAGCGTTTTAATATCAGAACTATCCCGTAATCATTGACCATCCTTCATCTTTTATACTATACCTCCATTGTTACCAATAAATGTCCCTGGTTGTTAATATGGTCAAATAGTATCCTTAATTTGCTAGATTCTGTCCGACATTTTGAAAGGCTTTTTACTTTAAATAAATAACAAAAAGTCTAAAGTAAAAGGGAGAAAGTGGATATTCGATTGTTCATTCGCATAATAATAAATATTATGGATTGATAAAATTTAAATCTTACGTAATTAAAAGATTATTATCATTTTCACATCAGTTATTCATCACAAGTTATTCATCAAAAATCCTACTCGTTGTTGATCTATTCATGGAGGATTTATATAAAATTGGCACGGATAAAGAGAGTTTTAGGAAAACCATTCAAATGTAGCTTATATATATTTGTTCTAATAAAAAAAATGGGACATTCAAGTAAGATTATAAACCACTCCTTATGCTCTTTATATATATTTTCTTTTTTTTAAGTATTCTAGCATCCTACTTTAAGGATTTATTTTTAATTACACCCAAATCGCCTTTCCCTTTCCTTTCAAATCCCTAAATCATTTATAACTGCCTTTTTTTAATTTTTCCTACTAAATAATATAAAATCGGAGATATTCTCTCCTCTCTGCTTCTCTGTCTCTGTCTCTATTTGTCTGTCTCTATCTATGTCTCTCTCTCTGACCCTTAATAACACTCATTTCTTATTTCCAACCTCTATTCTCACCTACAATTATTTGCAATGAGAGTAAGAACGAATCCTTTATTCTAAGTTAAATGTACCTCACGACAGATGGCGATACTGTACATAAACTTGTTTGAGGTATGAATGCATATGTTAAAGATTAATGAAAATAGAAAGGGTAAAAAGATACTTTGGGAGTTGATTTCAAAAGTGATAAGAGCTACACTCTTAAATAAGAATATATCAAAAATTATCTTGGAAACTGCCATCCGGCTATTAGATAAAAATGAAATATAATAATACAACTTATCACTATATTACTAGTCAAAGCAGAATAATTCAATTCTGATCATTCTATTTGTACAATAAACCATATAATTACAATTTATACTTTGAATAAATCATTTATTCTTCATTATCATCAATCCATTTACAAAATATTTGAGTCAATGTCTTTTAGAGCTGTCTTGTAGTTGTCAGTTGCTAAGGGATGATGGATGTATCAAAGGTCACCTAGGTCAATGTATGTGTCGACGCTGTCGGAATCATTTAAGAAAATGGTAGCGTTATTGAATGATTTTCCCATGTAAGGAATGTAAAGTTTCCTTTCTTTTCCCTTTATTCTTTATACGCCACTGGAGACTTGTAGAGATCATAGTACGAATGTGGAAGATTCCGATTGACCTTAAATTGATTAGGAATTAATCAAATTTTTCTATTTATTAATGATATTTTAATAATAGATTTGGTATTCGATTCATGCATTCTATCGATTTTTAATGATGATTCCTTTATTATTCTGCAATATAGCACCCCTATTGTCTCTGATTTTTTTTTCTAGTCAGAAATTTTTGCTACTAGTTATATTTTACATTCTCTCTTTTAACATCCAAGTTGAATGAGTAAGACTAAGGAATCCTTACGTGATTTTTTGAATCGTATGAAAATAACATCAAGGACCCTTTTAGATATGAAAAGGAAAAAAGAAGAAAAAAAGTGTTCTGTACTTTATTTCTCTGACTCATCAACGTTGAACGTGACAGGAGAATGAATTGAAGAGAACTCTTTTGTCTTTAGGCAAAATACACGACCCTTTTAGCGGGTTTCCCTCAATCTTTGTCCTCTCTCTTATTTTCCATTTGACACTTGTTTATCTTAGTTTTGTTAACATTTTTAAAGATACTAATGACGAAACACGACTAATTTAACGAAAGCTCTCTATAATCTCTATTCAATCCTGATCTAAGCTAGTTTTGTGCATGCTATTCGTCCATATCAAATTATATTTATCACTCATCTCTATTTTACTAAGGCATCCTAAGACAATTTTCCTTTCTTTTGATTACTACTTTTAAATATCACAATTAGTATACTTTATCACTGTAGAAGATTCTAAAAATACCTTTAAATATCTTTAAGAGATAAACGTTAATAAGTTATAGGCTTTGGTAAGAGTCTATTTTTTGCTTAGACTTTTCCAAGTAATACAATTATAGCTAATCAATGTGTTTGGTCAGGTGTTTAATGAATAAATTAAAATATTTCCAAGGATATTCATCTCTTTATGGTGCTATAAGTAATTTAAAGAAGAAAACTATTGGAACAAGATAATTGTATTCAAAATGACTAGAAAGAAAGTCATGCTTTTTATATATACTTATGTAAACATTTTAGAATATATTTTGCGGTATATTCTTATATAAATGCATACATATTACATTACAAATGATATATATATATATATATATATATATATAGATAATTAAGCAAGCTTAAAGGTGTAATCATAGTATAGAGGTATATGTTTATAAAATAAGAGTTCATTACATAACAATATTGAATATTTCGCCATATATGGACATTTGGAAAATTGTATGTAAACATTGATAATTTGTATTGTTTTACATATAGTTTTAATACAATAAAAGATATTGTTTTGTATGGATAATTATTGTAAAATAGTTTAATGTAAACAAAGTTATATTTCTTTTATATACTAATATACAAGTTTTTCAGAGAAAAAATCTTTTCTCTCCAACAACAAACAAACTGTCATATCCAAAGCAAAGAAGAGAGAAATTAAGTTTTGAATTTAAAGATCATGTATATATGAATATAATTTTCATCCTTATATACATTGTAATTAATAAGAATAAGCATTTATAATGGGTATTCGTCTTCTCTCGGTCTATAGCCCATGTTTTTTCTATGTAAAAACATATGAATTTCCGAAAAGGAAGGTCTATTTACTTCGTCTTTATTCCAGCATTCTCTCATTAAGTCATAAATTTCCCTGGGACAAAGAGAAGGTTGCGGAAGATATTGTTCCTGTCCGTCTCCTCTATAGAAGTGTCCGCAATTTTCAATTACTTCTTCGTCTGTCATGTTTGTAAATGGTTGTTCTTTTGCAAAAGTCAACATTTCCCAAAGAGTTACACCCATTGACCAAACATCACTTTTAGAGGAGAATTTTCCCTGAGAAAAGAGAATGGTAAAGAGTAAGTAAAAGTATAACAGTAAGAGAAACTGATGAGAATACCAACCAAGAGAATACTTTCCCAAGCCATCCATCTGATGGGTAAGACGGCCTTTCCCTCAATACGGTAATAATCTCCCGAATATAAATTCCGAGACATTCCAAAATCAGAAATTTTTACTGAATAATGCCTTCCAACCAAACAATTCCTACAAGCTAGGTCTCTATGTACTAAACTTAAAGATTCCAAATATTTCATTCCGGAAGCAACTTGAGTTGACATATATATTAAGCAGCCGTATCTGATAAAAGAAAACGGAAACTAATTAAATTTGATTAAGCAAGACAATAGTAGTCACATAGAGTATGTTTATTTGTTTATAAATATAGATTTTGTACCATTATATGTCTTTGGATAATTAAAGCGAGGAAGTAAGGAGAGAATCAGATAAGATCGACCAAATGGCGTTATAGAAGTCGAAAGAGATTATGGAAGATACTTACGATAATTGCTTCTTTCCCTTTCTGGCAATTGTACCAGCAGTATCCAGAACGCGTTGCCTGAGGAATTGATTCATATCTCCATGAATCATATATTCTGTTGCAACGCACATAGGCTCCTCTTTTGTTATGACGCCAACTACTTGAACTACATTTGGATCCTTTAATCTCGCCATAACGGCCAACTCCCTTTGGAAATCTTTTCTAGCTGTTTCATCCGCATGTTCATTCAATGTTTTAACGGCAACTAGAAATTTTTCCTCTTCTGTATGAAATTCTGTATTTAGGCAATCCTTGTTAATAACCTCACAAAGGTGAACTTCCCCGAATTGACCTCCCCCTAGTTTTTCGAGGAATTTTAAGTTATCTCGTTCCAGTTCAACTAGTTGACGATTTCTCTCACAAATATTAAAATGTTTTGGGAAAGGCGGAGGAGATGGAGGAGGTTTAGCACTAATATTAAAATACGGCAAATGTTGTCTCTGCATAAAAACTATCTCTGGTTCTGAGTATAGGCAATGCTCCTTTTCACTTTCAACATCAGACGTTGCCAAAGTATTATAAGGTAATTTATTCATACCATTCATTAAGTCTGTAGGAGGTGCTAATGGTTTCGTAGAAGAAACTGGGCTTGGTTGCCTACTATATTTTTTTCTTCGTCTTCTATAATAAATGACTATAACGAGGAGAAGAACAATGAAAATTTTCGCAACGACGATTCCGCTAACGATTCCCACATACTCTTGCTTAAATTCGGCAGAGCCTGGCAAATGTGTAGAGGGGGATATTGATGAAAATTCATAATTAAATTCGTTTCTTATCCTATTCGGTTCATTGTCCTTTACAGCGGTCTTCTGAGTTGACCGAGTAAAACGAGGTATTATCGGTTCGGCAGTTAGAGGAGGTTTTTCTGGTTTAAATGTACCAGCTGCTTCAAAAGAACTGAATTTAACTTCGCCTAAGAGTATCCATTTATCTTCAAAGAATAGTTGAAATTTTACATATCTTCCAATACTGTTATATAGCTGTATGGGTATTTTTCGTGCGAAAGTGATGTCTTCATCCTGGGCATTTTGGTAGATAATGGGTTTTTTTGTGTAATATAAGCCACCAATAGAGAAGAAGATTTTAGCTACACTAAACATCTTAACGCTCCTCTGAAAATCATTACTCGCAAAAAACTCTACATTTGTAAAATTTCGTACAGTTTCAAATTTAAACGTTATTTCAACTGGAATTTCCCGAGATTTCATTCTCCACCCTAACCATTCATTCGCCTCTTTGTGCCTTAGATTTTGACCCTTCGGGTAATGATCGTCTGTCAGTAGTCCTAATCCACCGGACAAATACGTTTCGGTAACAGTTCCATCGTAAATGTGGTCTGTGTAAGCTAAATGGTGCTTGTTTCTTCTGTGACCTTGTGGAGCACTATACCAAACAATATTCTGAGTCCAGTTACAACCATATAATTCAATTCTCAAGCAAGTTTTCTTGCTACCCTCCGCCACGGTGGGATAGAAGCGTAACTTACGAGCTATAATAACTGGATTAATCTTTAAGACGTGGTATTCGTAGGCATTCCGATTTCCTCTTATATGCTAATTTAATAGATGGGAAGAAAAAAAAGAAAACTCATTAATACAAAAAATCAATGAATGATATTAAATAGGGAAATGGAGAAAAAATATATATAGGACTAAAAAAAATTACATCCCCATTAGCCTCGGGTAAACGTGAGAATATTCGAAATTTAGACCATATAGGAGTAAAAATAAGAACGGTTAAACAAATTTATCCGCAAAGGCCGTCTATAATGCAGATTTTTTTTCTCTTTTTTTTTCCATTACAAATTTCTTTTTTTTTCTTTTGATGTGGAAAATGAGTTAACCAGAAATACCCTTTTATTTTATTTTGTTATTATCTTTTTTTTTTAAAAAAAAACATAATAACAATAATAATAATAAGGAGATTTGAGAAGAGGGTTATCAAACAGATTAGCAAAGAACCTAAAATATAAAATAACGTACTTTTTTCCTCACGGAGTTAATCGTCCGTAAAAAGGTTTGCGAAAAGGATAACTGCATATTTCTAAACGTATATAAGTGTACTATATATTTTAGATACTAAACCAAGTAAGATTCGTGTAGATGAGTTCATGTCTATACAATATGTACTTTTATGTTTTAAAAAGAAATAATATAGTTTCATCCTTCTTAAAATATGCTGTAGCATGACCCATTTTTATTCAATTGCAAATAATAACAGTTTCCTCATTTTTACCGGTTCTTTTTTCTTCTACCGTTTTCTTTATTAATATATTAAAGATGATTTATACAAGTATATTATTTCTTCTTTTATATTCTATATAAATTAGATAAAATAGAGAAAAGTTGGTAGCAAATCCCTATAGGTAGAATGTATAGTATTGGCTTTCGTGCAAAGGTCAAAAAGATCCTTTCCTCTCGCAATCAATTACCGTGAAATTCATTGATCCTAATCAATATCGGTCCTAGAATTTGTGCACAAACCATGGAGACTCTCTCGTCCTATTATCATTTAAAAAAATTCACGTATTATTATCAATTTATTGTCTTCCCAAAACGGAAGTTAGGAACTTTGCAGTATTTAAATAAGTTATTAAATTAGCATATTTCAACTGAGAAATTATTTAATTAAATAAAATATAAGTTATATTAATAAGATACTCAACCGAGTAAATACAATTATATTTATTTATAAAGCTAATAATATAGCCTAGGTATGCCTGGATTTGATGCGTTCTATTTAACGAAATTGCTATTTCCTTATAAGAGCTGTCTAGCCATCAACTAATCAAAAACCATTTTATAGTGAAGGTCATGGCTTATAAGTATATACTTTCTATATAGATACATATATACAGTATGCAACAACTGTATATATAAGTCTATGCAATACATATAGAAATAATACTATTTCTTTATTCTTATTCATTCTCAGAGTATAAAATTTGTGTTTTCCCGCCATTTTCCCGGTTGTTTTGCGTGATGTTTTGTTGATGAGTTGGAAGATTTTTTAGGCAATAAAATTACCTATGCAATTAACTAAAAATACCATCTGTCGTTTGGAAAGAGCTTCATAAAACGTTGTGACGGTTGGCAGCGATAAAATATATAGAATTGTATTTATCTTCTCTCTCATTGTATATCTCCGAACTGACTATAGTGTTTTTTGCAACAAATTTTTGCTAAGGCCTATGACAAACAAAGACAAAAAATTATATCAAATTTATCTTGTTTGTAATGAGAATAGCAAATATAGATGGCACTGGTGGCTAAAATATAACAAAGCTTCTAGCTGATAAGAACAAAGATTGAATTTATAAAATAGTAAATACATCTGGTTCTTCGACAGAACGTAACAGGAGAAACAGTGAGAGACAGAGAAAAATTAGCTACTTTATCCCTCAGCGTCTCCAACGCGTTTCCGACGCGCGCCGCATCTCATTTCCGGTCGGCGTAAATAATTAACCGGTCAAAGTCCGCTTTATATTTTTCGTTTTTATAATTTCTTTAACTCAAGCTAACTGGTATCAAACAAGTAGAGCGCGGCGGGGGGAGAAAATAAAACAAACGCTATCTTCAGCCGAACGGGCTAAAGTATTCTAGTGAAGATAAACAATTTTCGACTTAGCGCCGAGCGCCCAGAACCGCAAGGGACAAAGATCGCTACCGACTGCAAATAGAGAATTGAGAACTGTAGAATACGGCAATTTGCCCAGTTTTTTTCTTACCCTTCTACTACTCTGTTTTCTATATTTGTTTTGTTATAACTTTAATATAATGTCTATTAATTTGAAAATCTCTTGTTTTTATCTCTCTATTACTGTTATTTCGGAAACAATTTAGTTATCCGATTTTTATTAGGTAAACAAAGGCGAGAGGAAGAGATGCCAGAAGAAAAGGCTCTGCTTTAAAGTCTATTAGAGAAAACTCACGAGTTGAGAGTACTTTTTTTTCTTATGAATATTCATTAAAAGATGAATCGACGTTCACACTATTTCTTGCTTTGATATGGTGTGAAATTGCTTGAAGAGCAACATGAAGCTTTTTTGACCTTATTCGAGCCTATACATGACTTATTACTGCTAATAATATTTAAAAAGAGGAAATGTAGATCTTTCCTTTTTATCTTGAAGGTTTTTTAGCATATTAAGAGAAATGGTGTTGAAAGAAAAGTTGGTAAACTAAATCTCCCAAACGTACAATAAATTATTTAGTTTAAAGACTAAAAAGGAACATTTGGGTGTTTGTAAAGTGTCTAATGAGAGATTTAGAAGAAAAATAGATCTAACCTATAGCAAGACCCTTAACGTTTAGGTTTACTATATAATTCATTAAATAAAAGTACATTTCTAATATATAACTTACATTATTTGCGTAAGAAAATACTTGAACCTTTAGTTTAAATTTCATTAGAATAAGCAAATACCTAGGTGAAATGGAAAAAAGAGAAAGTTATTAGATCTTTCGTCCTTTGGCTAAAAACCAAAATAAATAGATAGTAGAGTGCTTAGAGGAAAGATTTGAACTTTTCTCTTTCCTCTTCTAGTTGATTAGTGTTTTAAATATATGCGTATGTTTTTATCTATGTCATTTTTATAATTAATCATTATTATTATCAACCTTAACAACCAATTTGTAGTTTTTCCTTAGACTCTCCACTTTCCTTCTATTCCCCTTTTTTTTGCATTTTGCCCTTTTTGTCCAGATGCGTTTTATGTAAATAAGCTTGAAAAAGTTCATCTGTCTATCATGTGATTTGGCATGAAATTCAAACAGCAGGTGCAGTTCATAAAAGTAAAATTATTTTTTCAATAAAGACATGAAAAAAAAATCCATTCGCAAACGATATAAACATTGAAAGCAGACAGATTTTTCCATCTTTTGTTCTTCGTCTGATCTTCCCCCTCAGAGGTAAATGGACACAGATGGAAATTGGTCAAGAAAATGGATATTTATCATTATTTTTCATGAATTTTCCAACCAATAGTCGCTTAAAAGAAGCACCATCTGCTAGAAATTATAGTCGTTTTTGTGATGAATGAAAAACAAATGCCAAACTTGAAAAGAGTTTATCTTAACTGTCACTATTTTTTATATGTAAAACTTTTAAACAGTAAATAACATGTTCCCTGTGTGCGTATCGCAGTAAAAACAAAAATATTTCTCCCTTCCTGCGGCTCTTATCTAATTGATTATAAATGATATTTTTCTAATCTTTTATAGATGACCCTAAAAGACCCCCGTTAGAAGGCTTTCGCTGATAAAAGTTACTTCACTTAATTTCCTTTGTTTACCCATTGCTAAAAGTGAAATACCGCTTCGAAAGATATTTCCTTGCTATCTTATGAAAAATTTACGGCGAATAGGCCGTACTTTAGCCAGATTTAATTAGGCAACCTTCTAGTCATGAATATTCATAAGGAATTTCCACAAATTAGTCTGGCAGTGGCAAGGTGGCGAACGCCAAACTCTGCGGGATTCGTTTCTGGCGCCCTTCTATTCAATTTTCCATCGACGTGACGTGAATTTTTCATGAGTCCGTCGAAAAAAGAAGGACAAGGGAGAAGAGGTATGGGGTAGGGGGCAAGAGGCGGTGGGGGGTGTATATAGAGAAGAGTTAGATAGACAAGTTTACTTACAGTGCCACCCGTCTTGTTTTTGTAGAATATCCATGGACCTTCTTCCTCACGTTTATAGGCTAGTCGAAGTAGAGGTGAGAAGAATTGAGAGCTCTGTTTATAAAGCAAAAAACAGATATTTAAATAAATAAAAATACACTGCACATACCCTACACGTAATATATACAGTGCATAAACTATATATACATATATATCACTAATATACACTTTATACCATAGACTGTAGTTTCGGCGTATATTCCAAATTGGAAAGTTATGCTACAGAAATTCTATATTCCCTCCGATGAAGATTTAATACGAATTTGGCGCGAAGTTACTAACTTTCCATACTCCCTTGACGGTCAAAAGTATGGTGGGTAGGAGAGGGTAAAAGGCTATTCTAGGAGGTTAAATAACTCAATCCTACAATGTTATCCAAACAATTAAAAAGATTTTATACATAAACTAATTAAGCAAGTATAACGATTAATTATATACTGATAGACTACGTTTGGCGTCATATAATCGACCCATTTAATGTAGTACAAAACAAAACGGAGAAGAAATCAATAGCTGCTATACCCAAGTTAATATTCATATTTGTAAAAGCAACGAGAAACATCCTGTTTTTTGAAAATGTCTAAATAAAATAGAATTGCGGATAGCTAGTGGCACTATTCAGTTTTACATCGCTTCATTGGATACATTCTTTTCTTTTTTCCGTCGTAAAAGCGCTTCCTTTCCAAGCGATTTCTCTGTTTTCTATCATGCCTTTTCTTTTAAACTCTTTCTATATACAGTACGTATACAAAATATATGTCTATTATGACATATACAGTATATATTACTATATAAATTTATATATACTGTATATATAATAGCAAATATATATATATATATATATATATTTATAGATAGAATGTAGGTTAATAGGAAAATAAAAATACAAAATGCTGTAACATTGTTTACCCCACTTTTTCCATCTCGTAAACAACATATTTCGATACTATTTACTAGTACTATAAAAAATTTCAAAACAAAACGATCAATGAAACAATTTTTCTTTCTTCTCGTTGTTTTATAATTGATAACATTAAATATCTAGTAATCTATTACATCCTTACCCCATCTTTCATTCTTCCCAATGTTTCCACATATGTTATGGAATATAATCCCCTTAAATCCACCTGCAACCATTCGTTCGAATCCGGCTTTGTCTCACCCTTAGGGCACCACGCTTGAGGATCGCCTCCTCTAAGGGTTTTTCTGTAGAAATCGGAAAAATAAATAAGTAAAGCTATTAAGTCTTATTATCCGCTTTAAAGCATTTATTTCAATGTATTTGAGAAATAAGAAGAAAAAAAGTCTTTTTTTATTAATTGTATAAAGTTTAAAAAAGAAATTAGGCTTTCTTCGTGTCTAATGATTAATATTTTTAATACTTTTCTTTTAATAGTATAAATATCAAGTAGAATATAGTATTACAAAAACAACGAATGGTGTTACTAGTAATAATAATTGAATGAATAATTAGAGATAACTTTTTGTCGGAATTGAAAGCAAAACTTGCAAAGATTGAATCAAAATAGTGTAAGAGTTGTCAGTATTGTATAAAGGATATATATATATATATACAGTATATATATATCGGTCAGAAACAGTTTTAGTTTTATATACTTCACAGTCACACCTGCCAACTTTTCAACAGTCCATATGTTTTTCTTTTTTACAAGAAACTACAGATATATAATCTTCGATTGTTTTTATTTATTAGGGAAACAGTTTTAATAAACATTGAGAATATTTTCTTAATTTGATCCTAAATAGAGAGTAATTTTTTTATAAATATATTCATGTTGTAATCATTCTTTATTTTCTTGGTAATCAATGACTGGCCATTCATTAATTATTTACTTAATAAAAATGTTTGGTACTATGCTTTCTCTCCAACTTCCTATTTAATCCTACAAAATATGATTCATTGTCTATTTATGGTAGTTTTCTCTCTAGTTTTTGCAGTTCTATCACTTTCTTATTGAAATGTGATTTACATATTATTCATAAATATATTTTTCAATTCGTTTCACTTTCTAATACAATTCATACTTCATTTCATGAATATTAATGACAGTAATTTCGTATTTCCTTGTCTTATTATATAATATAATACACGACAGATTTTTAATTAAGTTGTTATGATAGAATATGTAAATTAGTTGTAATTATAGGCGAAAAGAAAGAAAGTATATTTAATGGTGTACTCTTAAGACGATTTCGTCTCGTATTGAAGTAATTTTGGTGTAATGGGTGAAAAACGAAGGAAAAAACCGTTAATGAGTCGGCAATTATGGTGAAGGGCGTTCGCGTTCTATGAAAAAGAAAGCGTGCGCGTGTGTACAGCTCTCATACTTTGCAGTTTCTCCAATTATTTACACGTATACGAACCTGACGTGTTGAGGAATCGTTGCTGAACTATTGTAGGAGCTGGCTGTTATAGCATCATCAGGAATACGCATATTTTCTAATCCCATATTTTGATTACAAAGACCTGTTGAAAGAAAAATGATAAAAAACTGATATTAATTCATTTAATTATAATTGCAGTACTTTATATAGACATACACATATATCTATAGTTAGATTTATATAGAATATAAAGGAAATCAGTAAACCATCATAAAACTAGTTTTTAAAATTGAAGAAGAAAAGTATTAACTGAATAAAGTTAATTATAAAGTAACCTATACATAGAGAACAGCGAGTATTTTAGTACAGATTAATCCATAGACTCAGTTACAATTTAACATTGTGTTGAGCAGATACATAAGAAGGTACCATAATGTATAAAGCTCTATCGTTAAATTAAGAACATGATCCGATAAAAAGATTAGCTTTATCACCGGAAAATTTCTTAATTGGTAAAAGTGTTTAATAACTTTATTACATAGTTTCTTAAGCTGTTTTAAAACGGAATGTTTAACAATATGTGAAATGGGATATAAAGCTATTTAAATAAAAACAAATTTATATAATACAAGTAATAATAGTAATAAAACTGACAATAGTTGAAGATTGTATTGATTTTTTTTATATGCATACATCTTGAAAATGTCGGTATTTTCTTTTATCGTCTTCAGATTTCTTTCTCATTTTTTTTATAAAGATAAAACCCACCCTTGGCACAAAATGACATGCTAATGATATAGCTTCAAGAATGGGGGTGGTACCACCTATTCTTTTGAACTTGCGAAAAATTCTTCGCCTTTTTTTTCGCTTATCTGTTTGATGTGTGGACGAGAGGAGGAGGAGTAAAAGTACTGTGAACCGGGCACATTTTTTCCCTTGTCGTACAATATGGGAAAAGGATGGTGAATAATGGATAGGAGTAAAAAGGAACAAGATCGAACTGAGATGCAATTCAAGGCTCGCGCCTCGGGTCGTTTCTAAATAATTTATCGTCTTCTACAAACATAGCGCACTTTTTTCGATCTAAACGATATACTATAGCAAGCTATACAGTTGGCCTTTCGCTTTCATATTCTCTTCTGATTACATAATCATACCGTTTCGTTAAATAGATATACAAAATAGACAAACAAAGCGTTACCAATGACAGCCTGTCAGAGAAGATTTGAAAGGCATATGTTATGCAGTTTTTTATCCATTCCTTACGGAACTTTACTCTTAAATCAGTTTTCATCATGCAAATAATAAAGAATATGACAATGTTCATATAAAAAAATCCATCCAAATACCACACATTTTTCATATGTAGATGTAGGCTATTTATCATCTTATTTTTATGTCCCTTTCTCAGAAAAAACCCTTTTTAGCTTGGGTCTAATTAATTTAAATTTTCACTTCATTTCCCTAATGTCATTCCTACTACATTCCTTCAATACTATATATTTAAAAGCAAGAAATATCTAATGGAGCCATAGCGTAATACGGCTTCCTATAAACCATCTTAATTGTGTCAAATTCTTCTCAGAACAGCTTTACAGATTAACTGCCTTATGTGTTGACAGTTTCCTCTATTCTCTCTTTTTTAACTAATTCTATTCCCTTTTTCTTTATCTGTTACGTATTCCTTTATAGTATTTTATATTGTATGGAAAAGATTTAGACTAATCCCACATATGGTATACATGTAACCTTATAAAAACATTTAGTACTATACCAAAATACGAAATCTATAAGTTTTCTACAGAAAAATATAGCAGAAGGAAAACGTAAAGCCTTTCACAAAACAAGGAAGAAATGGCTATTTTTCCTTCTATTTATCATATTTAAACAAGGAAAAGAAAAAGGTAGAAGAAGAAGGAAGAGAGGATTAAATATAATGTTATAAATAGAATTTACTCTCTTTCTTTCGTTGTTGTAAAGGGCATGTATAAAGTAAGAACATAGATTAATGCTCCTATTCAAAGACCCTTAAAAAAGACAAAATTAACTGAAATAACAATTGAAATAAAAACTAGACATTACATACGCCTAAAGTCTCAATTATAAAGGATAAAAAAATCGATCCCTTGCGTACAATTGGAATAAAGTTCAAATTCATGACTCCCCAGTATTTTTTTCTTTTTTAATATTGCATTTACAATTTTCGTGACTGTTTGTTAAAAAATGTTCGAGTCACGATTCTTCTATAAAATATCTTTAATGCTCTATAAACCCAACTACAGAGTTTCCTTGATAGACATTGAAGAGAACTTATTTTCTCTTTCCAGCCCCTCCACCCTTTCGCTCTTTCTTTACTATAATTTTTTTTCCAGTTAATATTACGTTACTTAGTTCTTGTTATAACGTGACTTTTAGGCGGACAATGAAAGTCTGCTTTTGTCTTTTAAATATTTACAATACGATCTAGGGAATTTATATGTTTCTTTTAAAATCTTCGATGAAGCAGGCGGCTGTCTTTTTACTAAGCTATTCCTTTTCTTTATATCTTTCCTTTTCAATTTTCTTTCTTTCCCTATATCCCCACTTTCCATCTTTATCTGACTTTTCGTTTTTTTGTTCTATTCATATATTTCTCCTTTTTCAAGTTTCTCTTAGTGGTAAGTGGCATGCTTTTTTTTGTTTGAACTTTGTTTGTTTGAACTTGAATTATTTTGAAAAAAAATTACGAAAACAATGAATTATTGACTTTCTCTTTTCTGCTGGTAGCTACGAACAAAGAGACATTTTTTTGTCTTATTAATCCCTCAGATATGAGGGAACTTTATTAAAAGTTACTAATTCAAGGAGATGGCAAATTCGCTTATTATGGACAATTATCACCGGCAATTATTTCACATTATAATCTGTTATTATCGTTTTACTCAGACGTTGCCAAGGTCGAAGCTTTGTCTAATTTATAATTTTTCTACGTAATGGGCTATCAAAAGAGAAAATGTCAGAGAGACAGCGAGAAAGAGAAAGAGAGGAAGAAAATTATTCTTTAGAGCTATTTCTATGAGCGCAAATATGAATAAATATGAAATATAATACAAGTAAAAAAGATATGAAAATGACTAGTTCCACCATCTCTAAGATGCATATGAGTAATAAAATTCCATTACAAATGCAGTATGTTAGATGGAAAGACCAAGGTACAACTAATTTACTATTTAACTTTGCGTGAATAATTCTATCATAAGAAAGTGAAGAAGTGTCGTAAGCAGTTTGAGTCTTTTTAATATTTATAAGTTTCTAGTTCGTGAGTTTACTACATGATAGGGAGAAGATGAGAAAAAACTACCGTCTTAGTTTTTTCATCTATATTCCTTTTGTCTCTCGTCCAGAGTCTCTGCGGAATTATCTTTGTTATGGTGATGTTTATGAGTATCAGTGAAATAATTGGTAAGGGGTGTAGGTCCTCAAATATTAAGTCTACTGGAAAAGAAATTCTTTCCCACAATTTGATCTGGAAGAGTGCATTTCTAAAATCTTTGATTTGAACTTTTTGCACATGAGTAAACAACGACCTTACAAGCAGACTGGGACTAGGGTTTAAAAATCAAAAAATCTATACTATACAAATAACCCTAGATTTTTTTACGGATTGCCCCCAGAAAGAAATTGGCGAATAGATTTTTTCGACATCAATTTTCCTAGTCTATTTACGGTATTTTTACAATTTTATCTGAATTCGCCTCGGTGGATCGAAAGAAAAGAGACGCCTTTTCATTTTGTTCCCTCCCATACTTTTTCCCTTTTTTCCTTCACTTAGCTAAGGTTTAATCTGTCTAATGTCCTCTTGAATATTCCAGAGAGGGGAGCTAGGAATCGGATAAGGGCTATATAAACGATCGTCTTTGAGGTCCATAATCTTTTCTATTCCACTTGGACATTCTTTCCCACAATTTGATCAGGACGCTTATCAGCGGGTAGCCACATTGCATAATGCACTCAAACCACTCATTAAGAGGCGTCGAAACATCTCGAATTCAATTGGCCTATTTACGATCGCCTCTAACTTGGTCAGCGTCAGAAATCACCGAGTAATGTCATAGATTTATAGATACGGACGAGGCTATTTAACACGGTAAAAAACCAATAAATTATAGACCTAATCGATCCGACCTTGGTAAATCAATCTGGCTACTTATAATATTGAAAGGGAACTAAAGGAACAAAAAGTAGTAGGTGAAATGGGTCTCATCGGGGGTGGTATGTGATGCAATCGCCTCTTTCTTCTCCGGGACCACCTCCCACTTGGCGAACGCGTCTTTCATCAACTCGTAATATAAATATAGCTGCCATATGCTCAACAGCAAGTCCGTTGCGGTTCGAAAGTTTGGCTAGAGCGAAAATCTTCTGAAATCAATGGAAATTTGATGAAAAAGAACGTCTTCGCTAAAGCGGAAGAAAACGATCGGTGACGGAGTAATTAACGTAATTAGATGAAGCCGCCGCGTCCCTAGGTAATTATTGATTGATGGGCGTAAATTGAATGTCCTTGACATTGACGAAAATCCGTTCTTGATTAGAGAGTGTATTAAAAAGATTGCGCTTTGAACTTGAAGAACAATTATTGAAGAGTCTTACGGGTTGTGTTCCCTAACTCGAGGCTAAAGTAATTTCCGTCTACCCTCCCGATAAGCTCGGACGGACGAAATCTCGCTATTTTCATTGCATAATCGTTAATTACTTAATGATAAGTCAGAAGAGAGTGTTATCATCAATCAACTCTTGCTGTTTTTTCCCATTGAAACAAAGAAGAATAGAGTGACGTTAACTTTTTCCCTTTTTTTGACTGTTCAATAAACAGCTGCTTGTTTTAAGCACGATCGTTTGTTTGTCTCATTGTTCAGAATGGCAAAAGATATTCGATTATTTAAATCGTCATTTGACAGTTAATAAACATAGTAATCGTGATTATCCATCAATATAAAAAGTAACTATTTAAGATATTATTTATCGATTCTAATTAAAGATAACTATTAGCAAGTCATATGTATAAAGTAAAAGTATAAAAGTACTAACTACTAGCTCATTTTCAATTGATTATACCAAACTAGGCGGCGCTCTTTGGTCAATAAGCATTAATTGATATTTAAT